AAAATAAATTAGTTTAGTTAGTTAATTAACTAAAACTAATTTAATTAGTTAATTAGTTACTAAAAACTAAATTAGTTTTAGTTACTAAACTAAAAACTAAAAACTAAGAACTAAATTTACAACCCTGGTTATACATCTAAATTCGACCAGGCGCTTATAAGACGGTGAAATAAGTCTCTCCATCTTCTACCCACCAATATACCTAATCAGCAATTTGCCTCCTCACCGTGACCGTGAGCAGTATCATCAACACTTCATACAGAAGCCATAGCTTTTTGTAAATAAAGGAATACTTTATAATGCGAATATATGTCACTTTGCTACAGTCATTCATATAGCAATGCAGCTTACAAATAATTTCAAGCAAATAAGTCCATCTCAAGAGTGGAGATGTAAATTTGTGCTTTTTCACTTACTCATCTACAGACTATGAGGCTCTGTTGCTTATTTTGACAATTGGGATATGGCTATAGCTACAGTGCGCAACGATCACACACTTTCGTTTTCGCCAAGGTACATCTTCTTTTGGTATTGATCAAAAGTAAAGAGGGTTCAAACAGAAAAAACCAGCATATCTAAACCACACTGTGCAACGGAGCTACCTATGCGCATCGCAGGTTCAATTGACCTATGGTGACCGTTTGGCTTGATGTAGATTTGTTACTAGCTTAGCTGAATTCCACCCATATAGATGTCCTCCAGCTGCCATTCCGGGAAGTACGAACTATCTGGCTGAGAGTCAAAGGGAAGGCGTCAAAGTTAGTAATTGTAAATGTAGCCAGTGTGGCTGGTTCACAACTGGAAGGTTGATTCCATATCAGTACTAAAATTGCCGTTGAAGTACCTACTAAGGTTCGCTGGCCGTAGTAAGACTGTGTATATATACACAAGCTTGGCGATGTGGTTTTCGTTTGATACTTGCGAATAAAATATTCAATTGCGAATACTCAACGTTTTTGTATCCATTCGCTACCAAATTCCAACTTGAACTTGTTGAAAATGGTGCAACCTGTTATGGAAGTCGTTATTACGGAGATTGGCGACCACACAATCGACGACATATCTACTCAAGATGGCAAAGATTGGCTAGAAGCGTTTCGCTTGGGAGCAGAAACAATCCCCGGAGCTGTGAGAGCCAGCTGGGGTCGAAGCTACAAATATCCAAACATAGCAATGCATTTCATCGGTAAGAGTGATTTACATTGCTTCTGCTATTTCTTTGTTCTAATAGACAGATTACCAAACTCGCCGTCAGCATGATGTCCATAAGCAGGAAATCGGTGGCGCGGTCCCTGAGGCACTGTGGCACATCATGGACAAAGAGAAGACCGATTTATATGTAATCAGTCCAAACACGCCGGACAGGAGAGTACTCTATGCACCCCAGACAAATGTTGTATTCTTCTGGGGAATCGACGAAGACGCGTTCAGATCAAAGCAGGATGAGTTTTTCACTGCAATCGAGCAGTCAGATGCGTGCGTTGGCTACATATGGGGAGAGATCCAACAGCCCGTGCTTTCTGACAAAAGAGGATACGCTGCGCTTGGTAAAGGAGGAGTGATGATCAGCGGATGGAAGAGTCGCGAAGAGCATGACAGAGATGTCGCAAAGCCCAGGGTTACGGAAGCTTATGAAGCCATTTCTGCGACAGTGAAGAGGACTGATACTTGGGGAATGCAGACATCCATTGTGGAAAACAACGGCCACTTCCACAAGTGGCAACGACTCACCAACACAGACCTCACGAAGCTGGACCACGCTAAACGGCCTATTGCATAGGTCAGTGACTGGACATGAGGCTATGTTAGGATCACAACGAACTATATTATACATAATGTAATTGAAAGAATTGCTCCAATTTGTTTGATTGTACGTTTCCCGCTGCATGCTTAACAAACGCTGTATGTGTGTTGCGTTCACGTATTACGACCGGCTTAAGCTACCACCGAAGAACATCCAAAGCTGGAGAAAAGCACTCTAACAATCTGCCAACGAGCCCTGAGAGTACATATGTGTGATGAAATAAGGGCTAGGAACAATCTTCTTAGAAGATATAGTGACCCGTTGACACTGTTGCTGTAATTTGTATTTAGCATTGCCGTCACACTATGATCTCGGCTACTTAGATCGTCATGTAATGGATGTTGTATGTTGATGATTCAGCACCGCTTCGACGCGATTTAGCCCTCAACAAAACGTAGTGGGAGGAAAATAAACGTTTCAACTTTTCTTCTATAAATATTTATCTAAGAGTCCGATCTCCAACTTTTATATGTTACACTGTATTCGCGCCTTCCAGTTACAAGGTGTACTTGCCAGCTTCCAGTAACCACCGTACGCCTGTTGCGAGCTCCATTCCGGCTCGGGCGGTTGTTGGCAGTTGTGGAAATTGAACAAACCTGTTGCATGTTAGACAGAAAGTTGCACTCTGGGGGAGAAAAAAAGATTTAACAGCTTACCAATTGGGTAGTTCATAGTGGTCGGTTCGAGTCTGCACGCCAGCCTTACGGAGCATTGCCTCGTATAAGTAGCCTTCGTCTCTAATTGGGTCTGGGCCGTCCATAGCAAGATATGTCCTAGGAAGCCCCTTCAAATCTGCCCAGACAGGAAAATTATCTCCCTTTTCCCTTTCGCTTTCGGGCACATTCAGTAGGGATAGGTACTTTTGCCATTCATTTTCACCAAAGACAGGTGCATCAGCGTTCTCCTGGTGGGATACAACCTTTTCGGCCCACCCAGATGGTACTGACTTGGAGCCAGAGTATACAAGAACCGTTGGGACGATTAAGCACTGGCCGGAAAGCTTTATGGAAGCATGTCGGTCACGCGCGCGGACAGCCACTGCAGCAGCCAAGTGAGCGCCTGCAGTAGCACCGCCGATATACAGCCCCTTGTGGATGTCGCCTCCATAGGTAGACGCATTCTGGTTAATCCATACAAGTGCGTTTTCCGCATCCGACAGAATGGTGTCCCATGAGTTCTCTGGAGCAAGACGATATTCGAAAGAGATAATGATGAGATCGTTTCCGTGTCCAATCATGGCCCGACAACCCAAATCGTCGCCATCCACGTTGCCAGTGGCCCAATATCCATTATGGAAGTAAAGCATGATGGGAAGTGGCGCTGAACTCTTGTTTCCAGGCGAATATACTCGGATCGCAAACTTGTGGTTCGGCGCATGTGGAAGAGTAATTACAGCGTCTTCGGTCTTGACGCTGGCAAGGGCAGCCATTGCTGGCTCCTTCAACAGAGCAATGTTATCCAAGCTCTGCTGATTAATGCTTTTTCGGATAGATGCCAAGTCTTCATTGTGGTTGATGTATTTAGGGTTCGTTGCGGCGAACTGCTGTTGTTTAGTCTTGTGCATTTTGGCATTGGATGAACATGGACTTACTGTGTTCCATTCTTCAGACATCTGCGGAGGCGCCATATTCGCTATGAGAGTGCTGTAAGTTATCGCTAATATTATATGTAGTAATGCAAAGACAAGTTTATTGGTGCAATTGTTGTGTTCGGAGATGATGAGCAATGAGAATAAAGATTGATTCGACACGTTCGATAGTTGAACTTTTTATTAGTTTTGCAGTTACTATCGCCTTACAACACCATGTCTGAGAATAACGTAAACATATGTACTTAGATGTAAAGCGTTAATAGATGGCGCCGCCCAAAACACTAATCCGGATCATACCGGACGAAACTGATGAGGAAGCAGGTAGCTCTTTAAGGAAATCGGGCCCGCTCTGAGAACTACTTTGGTAGCCTTCAGCTAATGCTCCCAAGTCTATTCGGCGCTGCGGCATCTTCCGTGCAATTAGTAGCCTACACGGCAGTAACAGACTAATACACGAATATTACAATACAAGTGTCCATGTGCATAGAGATGCGGCAAACTTGATGGCGAAGAATTGAAGTAAAAATAAGGCGGAAAAGAGTAATTCATCCACGATGCCTTTATTATATTGTAGCGTAATATTAGTGGCATACGTATAGACATGTCAGCTTGTGAATAGCGTCGCTGTGTCTGTATAGCCACTAGTCTTCCAGAAAGATCCTATACAATTTTCCAAGTCATATGTTATTGACAACTGCAAAAACCTGAAATTTGCTGTACGCACGGCCACAAAAAAAAAAAAGTAAACGTTTTAGTCAAACCATATAAATATTAAAATTAAGTATTAGTCTAGATGCTATGAATTGTCTAACTGCAGCAGCATCTCTCTGTTAATCTCGTGGTTTATTAGTAACCAAACATTGTCGTGTTAGAAAGAGTGCCATTTCCAAAGAAAGACCGTATATCTTCTATCAGGAGATCAGGCGTTTCGACAGAAGCAAAGTGTCCTCCCTCTTCATGTACTTTCCTTATGACAACATTGCCTCCTCTCTGGGCCCAGTCTAGAGGCTATGAAGAAAGCGTTAATATAAGTTCGAATGAGAACTTTGTATTGGCAAACTTACAGTCCTGTACCAAATATCTGCCGGGAACTCGGAAATGGCAACCGGCTGGTGGATATAGGGAAACGTTGTGGAGTTAATAAGCAGTCCGTTCTCAAGGATGTGATCCTACAGTATTATCAGCAGGTCTTGTCTTTCAGCATATGCCGTCTGAGAAGGCCACTTACATTGACACTTTCTTTGTAGAATCTGAATCCAGCATACGGCCCTTGAATCCAGTACATCAAAGACCAAGTAATGAGCTCCTTTGCACTCCAGACATAGTTCTGAACTGTCAGAAACATGAATTCGTATATGTACATGGCAAAGCCGATGGGACTATCGGTCATAGCGTATCCAATCTGCAGGGGCGAGGTCTGCTGCTCGAAACGATACCCGCTGCTCTTGTTCTCAAAATTCCAGAATTCTTCGATCACGTATGTCTCGTCGTCTGTAGTATTACCTGCGTAATATCTAGCAAAGTCTGTCGAATTGGGTTGCACAAGCCAGAAATTGCTTAGCACCGACAGAACTGACTCTGGATGAGACGATGCCATGAATCGATTAATAAATCCTCCAAGATCTCCTCCTTGGATAACATAGTGTGTATAATTGAGCTGATGCATCAGGTTGTTGAAGGCCTCTCCAGCAGCGCGAGGGCCAAAAAGCGGCTTCGTTGGGGCGGGTGAGAATCCGAATCCAGGTATAGATGGGGCAACGACGTGGAAGGCAGGGAGTGAGGCATCACAAGGGTTGGTCAATGGTTCCAGCAGGTTTTCGACCTCAAGAAAGGATCCAGGCCATCCGTGGATGAACAAAAGCGGAATAGCATCAGAGCGATTGGATCGATGATGAACAAAATGCAGAGGTACGCGTTCTTCATATTCGGAAAATGGCTTAGCGTCGACTGTTGTGGTAAACATATTAAAGCTTGTAGTAAAAGTATTGGTCAGCTATTGAGAAGCAGCCGAAGAAGTATAAGACAAAATCGTAGCGATTTATCGGCTTACCGTGAATTGATATCCCGTTGGGTGCTTGGCCAGTCGTATTCTTTGACCCAATAGTCTCGAACAGATGTAGCATTATGCACGGGAGGTCCATCGCTCCAATCTGGCTGCTTGACATCGATTGGGTATCGAGTTAAAGCGACCTTTTGGTGAGCTAATGCAATAATCTCAGGATGGACCGCCAGCTTAAAGGGAGCTGGACTATTTCCGTACGTCGCATCCCATTCCAATGCAAGTGTGCTGCGAGAGACGACTAACAGAGCTGTGGCCAATGAAACGTAATGCTTGATAACCGACATCTTTTGTTTTCTCTTGCTGTTCTTCCACAGATTTGCTCAGGTGGTTGATGTCGGATCGGATGAAGTACAAATCTTTCTTCTCAAGTTTCAAGGCTTCTCTACCGGTATAAATAGGTAACATTCTTAGTTAGGAGATTCTTTTAGTTGCGAGAGTCTCCCAATTTTGCTATAGCACTGCCATCTGAACAACTACGAGAATGTCGGAATAGCGGAAAGCTCTAGGTCCCTGCGAATTTCGCCATGTTTTTCTCGGTTTGGCCAATAACCTCTTTTGGAACAGAGCCATTAACCCATAATGCCTCTGGGTTTACTGATAAAGCGCGTAAGTTACTTTCTGTTTCTAGATTAGAGAAATTCTTAGCTTCTAATTCGTTACTACACTGTCCCAAGTTTCCAAAACAGAATGCCTCTTTGGGATGTATCCACTTTATCTCCCAGCAGTTTAAATGCAAGTGATATTCCTACGTGGGGGCTTTTAATTGGAACAAATTGTTCGTATAGTCCGCGCCAAAAGTACGGAATAGCCTACGCACGTACTTTAACAGGTATTAATTGCTTAAGTGAATTAACTTCACCTCATGTTTCTGCGCTATTACCGAACTATTTTCACAAAGGCGTAAATGCATGGGGCAAAAGGGCAATTCACGCTCGGTGTAATGCTTTGCCCGCGGAAGATTTCTCCCAATTTGGCCGACCGTGATACAGTTATCTTTACTGTCTGGTCCAAAGTTAGTAACGGCTCGCGATATGTCGGTTATTTATTAAAGTGTCTGCTGAGCTTTGGAACAAACCACTAGTAGCTCAAACAATTCGCCTAGTCAGGAAACAAAGATACTGAACTTTCAAAACTTTGCAATCCTAAACATGCCCGCAACTGTTGAAGAGCGCTTTGCCAAGCTGTCACTCGGAATAGACGGCAAGAGATATGAAAATTTCACTCGCATTATCCTAGCGACCGTGTATCCTAGCAACAGTGTACCCAAAACTAGGGAAGACTGAGGGGGCAAGGTAGGACCTTTTGTCGCTGGCTAATACGTGTAGCCCCGGCATTTTAAGGGCTTTCAAGATCATTGAGCTCTATCAACCAATCATCAAAGATGGCGCAGATAAGGAGCCGAGAACTATTCGCTTCCATTTATTTATTGATGTAAATTCAGAAAGTGGTAACGAAGAGATATTTATAATTGAAAAGTAACTTTCTTTCCATCCCTTCTGGCCTTGAAAATAACTTGGCAATCATTTTGGCTAGCACGATGACATAATAGATTCAAGATTATCGAAGCATTGCGGCTACATCAGCAAGGAGAGAGTTTGAAAGAGTTTAACAGAATCACAACTATCGAAGATCTTCATGCTAAGCCTGTCTTAGTACACGTTGTGAAACCAGTAGGCGGATTCGCCATCTAGGAGACAATGGCAAGTCATAGCAGAGGCATAGAGTGTTGCATTCTCCGGTGTATGCTGCATCAATGGGCAAAGACAAGTAGGTAGCAGAATAATAGAACGTAAATCGTCAAGTCGCCGTGAGTAGCCATCGAGAATCCAGCAAAGCTTCTTGTTCTAAAGATCTTGAATAGATAGGCCAATGGGCCATACACCGCATAGTTTTCCTAGCGCCACATAGTTTCTCTGCCACCCCCACGGCTTGCCACCGTTTCGCAAGACGAGTACTGCCTAATGCCAGGTTTTTAACTACCAGGATACTAGTGGAAGATAGAAAAACAAAGACCGCAGGATAAACAAGCGCGTACAAAGTCATATCTATCGTACCAATTGGAAGTTTGCATGCAGAGAATGTTGAATTGTGTGTTCTAAATTCCCACATTAGTTGTTTTCTGTTTGCGCCTGACGCTCTAGATGTGGGGTAAGATGATAATAGTCACGGTCAGTATGACATATTTTTAGTCAGAAGCTAGGTTTTGGACCGTGACAAGTGAACCAGCTCGTCCGAGCCGTGCATTTAGAGCGAGCACATGCCTAGTTATAACGCATATAAGACACCGGCCAATACCCTACTGCTTCATATCAACGTGCAATAAATTATACACCGAAGAAAATATGTCTTCTACAGATGAGCTAACAGTTCAAGAGAAGAATAAGCAAATAGTTGCAAGGTATTCGGAAGAATTTTGGGGCAAATGCAATGAGAACATTGTCGATGAGCTTTGCTCAGATGACTTTGTGTCCAACTATCCAATGCATGGCCGCCGCGAAGGAAAGGTTGAAGTCAAGAAGATGTTGCTTGAGTTTCGAGAAGTAAGTTACTCCAAAGGCTGCGGTGAACAAATTCTACCTGGCCCCTAGTCTTCTACTAAGATCTATAAAGGCATTCCCAAATGTCACTTTTCGACCATATGGACCAATTCCCATGATAGCTGAGAAAGACTATGTTGTAACGCGCTGGATTGGTGGTGGCAAGCATACAGGTGTTGCATTTGACGATCTGCCGGCTGGCCAGCTTGCCACACCGAATACGGGAAAGATAATTCACTTTTCTGGTACTACTATATTCACAGTAAAAGATGGCAAGATTACGGAGGAACTTGGGGAAGAAGGGGCTTTAACTGCGCTGCAACAGCTAGGAATCATTGATCCTCCAAATCCTGCAAGCGGGGCCTACAAGACAAGTGACCTAGCTGGCAATAGAGGCGAACCAAAAGACAAAGGGAGCGACTAAATAATGAATTGGCGATAAATCAAGTCCTATCTCATATAGCAATGACTATGAATTTGAGTAAGCGTCCGAAGCATGTCTTGAGACCTTAGTCCTTTTATGTGGCCTTGGTGGATTCCGTTGCGCATGTATGAAAAAGTTAGCAGACGATCAATGATAATTTCATCCTTCATAGAATTATCACATTCAAAATTACTATTGGTCTATCTCTTTTTGAAGAAAAAAAGCTGCTGATTCACTCTATATTAACAAGGATTGTAGGCTATTTCTCCCTAATCCAACGGTTACTTAAGCTTCGCAAGTGCCAAAGCTGCCATGAAAGAGTTCGCGTAGATAAATGTGTCCCTCAAGAAATATCGCTTCTTAGGGTACCATCCCAAAATCTGTTCCGCCTTTGTGCGATTGGCGTTGCGATTTCCACCAATAACATCTAAAAAGCCAGTCTTCTCAGGCTTATGCAGCTCTACTTTGCCCTTGCATCCGAAGTAGAGCGCGTCGCGTTCGCAAAGCAATCCTACGGGGAATTGATCTCCAACAAGCTCGAACACAGGATGAACACTGTTTCCGTTGATCAGCTGTAGCTTGTTCACCGCCAGCTCAATGGCAGTAGCAACATCATCGATGTTGGTGAAACAGTAAATCTGGTCTGCTGGGTCAACGGCAATTTTCATAGTGCCGGTAGTGCTGGTTCGCGCTCCCTCGACAAGGGGCCCCAGGATCCGAGTCCAAGCTGCGCCTCCTCGAGCCCAGATAAATGAGGGCTGGATGACAGCCACATCAAGGGAGCTCCTAGCCGCTAGAACCTCTTGTTCATACAGGGCTTTCGACTCAACGAGGCCTTCTTCAGGCTGTACAGAGCTCGCTTCAGGCGCCATTTGCTGAAAGCTGCCATAAGGGTCTTCAGTCGATCCTTGAGTCCAGATTCCGCTCACAGTAACAAACCCGAGCTTTGGCTGAATCCATTGTTTCTTCGCCAGCTGCTGCTGTCTGAGATTCTCCGCACCCGCGATAACTTTCAGCAGCCTTGACTTTGTAGTTTTGTCGTTGTAGCTGGAGGTGTCCACAATGACGTCTATCTTGTTGGATGTTATGAGTTCGAATACTGCTTGAGAAGAGTCGAGGCTGCCTCTGATAGGAATGATTTCGCTCGTGGCAAGTCGGAATCCTTCCTCATCGCTCTGGGACACTGCATAGACATAGTGATCGCCGCTGCGGATAAGCTGCTCGCTGAGAGCAGAACCAACGTAACCAGCGGGTCCGATAACAAGTACGTTAGGCATGTTGTAGCGTATGTTTTCAGTTCCAAAACACGTAGAAAGTTTCTTCTGTATGTTTTGTATTCTGTAGTGCCGGTGTTCTTTTGCTCTTGTTGTATCCAGAGACTTTGAGCCTTTAGTGTATGTGCAATGTTTGATATGGGAAGATGATTTCGTTCCTCTAAGTGTCCCGCATCAACTCATTTATATCTTGCCATTGTAGCTTACGATGTGGATAGCGTAGTGCCTAATTGACTCATTGAGTTTTGTTTCGTTCGAACTTACAAAATTGACAGAAAAATGCTGTGTAAAAAAAAAAAAGAAAGATGTGTCATCCCGTTCAGCTGTATCTCATCTGTTTGTCCGAAGTGGTCCAGCCAGGCGCCGGCATCTCCGCATTGACGACACAGCTCTAAAAATGCCGTAGAATTAGCGCTGGGTGCGGAGATCTCGGCGCCTGAAATGACGACAAAGCTCTAAAATGATATTGAATCAATCGGCTACTTTAGGCCAAGCTTTAAACACCATTCCATCTATCTGTCGAATAGCACAGCACACAACACGTTTAGGATACAGTAAACTACTACCCAGCGACTGAATCAGAGGCACATAAAATATACAGCAAAGTGAAGAAAATCATGTCAACGGAATATGAAAAGGTATTGATCCATTTCTATCAATCCGCTGCTTCTTGGTTGAGCGTGAATGTAATCGGTATGGATTCTAACACATTGATGAACAATATCACGCGCATGATCAATTAGAAGAGGTAGTAAATGAAAGAAAAATGGAACTTGCGGTTAGCGAAATGCGACAAATGCAAATTGGCTTGATCTGAAGAGTGATCATTAATTTTTCCGATAAATGCAACAAAAACGCAATCGCTTGAACATTACCCAACCAATGATCCCTAGCTTCTGATAAACTAAGAGAGATTGCCTATGGTAATGCAAAAAAAAAAAAAAAAAAAGATCGCGTATTTGCAACTTTTACTACGAAGTACGTTTAGATAGTTTGGAGACTATTGCGACTGAGAGAATCCCCTATTTCCTGTCGCAGGCTCGTTGGGCTGTTAGACGAAAATACATGATCTTCATCATGCGATGTATTACATGCCAGCTTGCACACACGTCACAATTTGTGCTTTGAGGAATAAAGACCTGAGTCATAGTAGATCGTCTCATTTCAAAACAAGTACAGAAGGTGTATCTTTCAGTGTTTTAGTCCAGTTGTCGCCCGCTTCTTGACAATTCCAAATTTGATGAAGCATAACAAATGCAGTAGTTGTGTTATTAAAATTCCCTCGCTCGAAAATGCCCATGAGTCTCTTGGCAAAAAATGTCCGTTTGGCAGGGATACTGCTCTCTGCAGCTGCGATGAAATACACCCAGGCCAGCGCATTCTCGCCAGGAGCATAAGCGGGTATCTCCTCCGCAGATATTTTCAGGTTATCTAGAATATCTTCAATGTCCGGTGGAGGGCTATCATGCATGACATGATAGGAATAAATATTGCATGCCTGTTTAATAGCTTCCTCTATCGACTTGAAGATGCAGATGATCCTGTCCTTGAAGGTGCGATCATCAGGCTCATACTGTGCCAGTATTGTGTATTGTTCCTTGAGTAAAGGTTCGGCATACAATTGTACTCTATCAACTGTCGTCAGTTTGTGATAGTGACAACATGGTTTGAGAAGCACTTACACGTCAAGTTGGTTGAGCAGAAATTGTTCCAACCCCGACCGGGAACTTCCCGTGGGTACATCATCGTGCTTCATTGCCTCTACCCAGGATTTGGCCATATTCAGGAGGAGATGAAATTGATGACCCCCATTCATCATGTCGGTGATTATAAGCAGGATTATGGCCGCCAAAATCGCGCTGCGTGTCGAACCACTCGCGTTTTCGAATCTAGAAAAAACAGAAAGCTTCTCAATTGCTGCCGACTGATATTTTGATGCCATAGGCGCCAGTTTGGGCCGCTGAAATCGCAGCTGATTTGCTGAAGCTGCTAATGTTGCAGATCGAACAAGGTCGTCAGCGCAGGCGAGTGGCAGTAAAAGGGTTCTAAAGCCATTCGAGGCTCCATCCACGGCAACAAGCGTTGGAGCAATATTCTCCGAGACTACTCCATATTAGACCAGCGCCTACAACCTGTTACATCAGGGGGTACATACAGTTGAAGAAAAGTAGTCTAGTTAAAGGGTCAAAAAGTTCGAGGCTTGGGGGTATTGAAGTCGACGCAAAAGCTTTACAGTCGGAAAAACAAGGTTAGCAACGCTTTATATAAAATGCGACATAAAAACTTATCCAGACGAGGAGAAAGCACTCACAGAAAACATCACTTCCTAAAACGCCGTCCATGATGCAAGGATCTGTAGCTCCGGGGTAGATGCTGGTGAATATTCCTGGGGCAATCTGACCGTTGAAGCTCTGGATAAGAACATTAACGTTGACATTGTTTATTATTTTGAAGGCGGTTTGTGGCGGTTGGTCGTTGTGAAACTGTGCTACATCGCTGGATGTTGCCGTGGCTGAAGTCCTTAGCCGAAATATCTCAGCTTCAAGTTCATCAATATAATCTAAGGTCCTTTGTCGATGTGCACTATGTAAGTGATTAGCATTTTGTTCAGTTTGTGGCCTAAGGAAGTGTCAATTACCGCTGGGCTTGAAGGACTTGACGCCTCCTTTTGTTAGGCTCGGCCTCTGTAGCTGGGCCTTGATCCGGGCTCTGGTCGGCCGTAGACGCAGCAGCACCACGTGTTGCTCGTGATGGCCGCCTACCCTGTTTTGAAGGCTGGGAAAACCTCAGCGATGTTGTTCCCATAACGCGCAGCCGTCTCTCTGGAATTGTCTCCCTGCGTTCACGCGCTGCCTTCTTCGAGTAACTCTTCTTCTCATTTGCCTGTCCACTACCAGAGCTTTCCATCTTTGCAGAATATGTCATCTAATTCCCAGTTGCTGTCTTCGCAATCATACAAAAGTTGCGCACCTTGGTTTCGTGATACTCGTAAACTCAAGTAGTTGGGGGTGCACGGGCCTTGCGGGCGTATAATAGCTACATGTATGGATACATAGGTCGAAGTTACTTGCACGTGAGTAGAATGAGTTCCTAGGCGGGAAAACTAGATTGTCTTGATTTGGTGGCACTATAATAGCAAAACGTTCCGAAGTGGCTGGCCAGGGGCTACTAAAGGAGGGGAGAAAATTACCCCGAGCGGTGTTGCGGAGCGCGCCACCTATCACCTTGTCAACTATTTCGTCCGAAAATCGAACTGCTACGGAGTCTTCAACTTGTCTACCGAGCTGGTGCGGCGCGCATTGTCAGGGCTTCGTTATACACTCTACGTCACTTGGACTCAGGTAGCAGAGAAATTACACAATGGAAGTTAAGATTTAATGGTACACTAAATCATCTACAAGTTCTTTTCCAAAAAGTCAAGCTGTGCGGAGATGTTCTCCTCGAAACTGTCCCCAAAGTAGTTTGCCACGTGGTGGTTGTTCAGTGTAATAAACTGCTTTGGCTCTCCTGCCTGCTCAAAAACTGTCTTATGAGCTTCGATGGGTCCAGTTAGAACATCTTCGACCGCGGCGAGGTAGAGCAACGGGCGCGGGCTAATTCTTCGAATAAAATCCCGAGGCTCAACTTTGCCGATATCGTACAAGCTCTGTAGTGTAATCTTGTTCTCCCATGGGGTCCCAGCAGCGTCCGAGCGCCGTTTACCACCATCAATGAACTCGAATGCAGGAGGAGAATGCAGAATGACCTGTCCACGCTCGCCAGATGCTTGCTCAAGCGAGTTATCCCAGACCTGTACATATGTTTCTCCTAATTTGGGGTTCTGTATTCTTGCAAGTCGATCTGCTTTGCTGCGGTCAATTAATTCTGGTGGGAAACCTGCAGCATCTCGCGCGCCTGACGTTAATGGCATTACGAGCACGACGGCTTTCACGTAATCGTCGTTGCCTGCTGATATCATAGCTGCACCACCGGAGTGTCCAATTCCCCACATAGCAACACGACTTGGGTCGATTCCTTTTATGTTTCGAGCAAATATGATGGCATCATGATAATCTTCGGCTTGTTGCATTGGGTTCACGGCGTTTCGAGGCTGTCCGTCACTAGATCCCCAGCCACGATGATCATAGATGAGTACTGCATAGCCCGCTGCTTGAAATCGGCTAGCAAAGTCAGGCAGATAGTGCTCCTTCAATAACGTCAACTGCGAAATGTCAGCACAGCCACTACAAGAAAAGGGATCAGCTAGTGGAAAAACTTACTCCTTGTGTCATGACCACAATGGGCACACCTGTTGATGTTGCTGTTGCCGAGTTTGGCATATACAAATCTCCTCTTAAAGTAACCCCATCCACCGTAAGGAAGTCAACACGAGTTGATGCTGTCATCTTCACCGCTTTCGGAATCGGATTGTCGTATAATGTTTGTAATGTGCGTGGTCTTTGTGTGATTATATTGTCGAATGATCAGTATGAGCTACTTTTCACAGATAGTTGGGAGGAAGATCGCATGTTTATAAGTGTACAAGATGGATGCACTGAGAGGTGATAATAGAAGGAAGACAAACATATCGTGCAGAAAAACAATATTACTATCTAGGTATGCCAGGTCAGATATGTCATTAAACTCAATCGTTATTTAGCGGTCTCCACTGCGTCGCATCATTTTGAGCAATTTGTTCACGCATCTGACAACATGCCTACGCCGCGAAGAAAAGATAACTAATAGAGATGTGATTTGGCAGATACAGCGAGCAACACATCAGGTAATTTATAAAATTTTGGGTCTGCGTCGAAGAAATCCAAATATGAAGGTCTCTTCCAACAATGCCTCGCATATTTGCTTTAGACCTCAGTTATACGACTTCAAGCAATCACTGGTACTTTTCATAGTTACTTTGTAGTTTAAGGTAACTTTCTTCTTCCCTAAAATCCTTAGGGATACTATCAAACCCTTAATACGGAGCAGTCTCTTACGTCACTTTTAGGTTAGGAATAAAGCGACCCATTTTTGGCTAGATTCAGTTACTAGGCCTGTTTGATTAAGCAGCGGCCGATTACTCATGTATTGAATAGGTGAGAAGCCACTTCGACTTTGAGGATGTAGAGATCTACTGTTTTGGTATAAATAATATGAGACTTATACATGGATGTAGTGACTCTATAGTAGCTAGGAAATGCCACATCTATAGTTTGAGTCAGTGCAAAAATTATCCAATTTGGGAATATGGGAGAGTGCCTGATGACATTGCCCGCAAGTTGAGGTTTAGCTATAAGATAAGATAGATGTAAATTAGACGAAGCAGTAATTCAGGCACTACGAAAATGTATCCAACGTCAACTGAATAGAAGGAATTGCAAACTGGCGCTAGGAATGTATTCCTACCCGTCAAAGATGAAGGAGTGCACAAAATCAACAGCTCCGCTAGCCTCAGTAGGTAATCCTTGTAAGCTCACATATACTTTCTCAAGTTCGCTTGTTCTATAGACTACTGTTAAATGACAAGGCGCATTGATTTGATCACAAGAGGCAGGACTCTAGAAGCAAAATGAGAGGATAACACAGTTCGTCTAACTTGTTATGTAAGTGTATAAAATTGTGGCATCGCTGCGATACTTCAATTGACATATAACACTAACAATCTTTTTGACATTAGATCATACACGGTCGAAGAAAATCTACATGTTCCTACCTAGGCAATTATATTCATGACACAAGCATCCACAATAATACTCCAGCCACAAATTGTTAGCACACCAAAATTAGCAATTGTAACAGGAGGCTTTAAAGTCACAGAAAGCGCTAATGTTCGAATTGTCTTACCAGTTCGTTGAGAGCATCCTGCTGCGTCCAGCTTGGAATAGGTATCATGCAGTTCATACCTGTATGGTCCAAGGACAACGTAAAATTCACGTGGTTCAAAGGCTTACTGCAGCTAGTACTACAAACTTCCCGCCGCACTAGCCGCAAGAGGACAAGAGATGAGGAATCCAAAGGCTGGAACATATTGCCAAATAGGGAAAGGAGTTTTCAATGTGCTGCCGCCGAGCGAAGTTTCCGACAATTAACGCCTGGTTAACCCAGCCGTGAAGTTTGTAAGAGGTGGATCCTGTGCCACGAAGCCAAAACACGCCAAATTCACTCGTCCGGTTTTCGTCACTGTTGCTCTTGTTGCTCTTATTGCCCGATATGGGCGTCTTCTCCTCTCAAATTGCCGAGCCCCAGTAGTTGGAGTATTCTCGAATATGGTGTTACTGACAAATTGCCAATGGCATGCGTTTTCACGCACCAGCGGCCGAATTTGATGGCAATTGACGTTATCCACGATACATGACTCCCGACGCCTTGTCTTTAGCGACCGCTAGGTATGTAGGTAGGCATATATAAAGGCGTGTATCACATTCTGCACCTCTATCAGCGATTTCACAGAAACAATTACTACAACGAAGCGATTGAGACCACCTCAGTAAAATCCATCATTTCTATATTTTTTTTTTCGAAGAAAATCCTTTCAATTGAAACCGACATTACACCCGTACAACATGGCTGCCTCGAATGCTTTAGCCGCGACTCTAAAGTCCTTGCACCGTCCCGGCAAACCTCTCATCCTCGCAAACGTCTATGACATTTTATCAGCGCGCGCAGTAGCAGCTCTCCCAAGCTGTAAAGCCCTGGCGACTGCAAGCTATGCTGTCGCTCGGGCAAACGGAACCGAGGACGATGATATGGATGCCCAGACAAATCTCCGGGCGGCTTTATCCATCGCCAAAGTAGCTGCAGAGTTCAAGAAACCATTAACAGTCGATATTCAAGACGCCTATGGAGAGCAGCTCGAAGAAGTGATTTCAACACTTGTCAAGGGCGGCGTTCACGGAGTCAACCTGGAGGATGTCAACAAGGACACTCAAAAGTTCTACCCTCTCGATCAGGCTGTGGAGCGTGTCAAGCGAACTTTGAAGGTTGCCGAAGACCTTGGCGTCAAAGACTTTGTTGTCAACGCACGCTGCGACGTTCTGGTCCACGGTGGCCAGCTCAGCGAGGTCCTCGAACGAGGCAAGGCGTACCTCGCAGCCGGCGCCACCAGTGTATTTGTGTGGGGCGGCTCGAAGCGAGGCGTGAGCCGTGATGAAGTTGCCACGATGGTGAGGGAATTCGACGGACGACTTAATGTGTCAATGAAGTCGTCTCCAGACGCGCTCAATGCAGCTCAGCTGTCACAAATTGGAGTCTCCAGAATCAGCATTGGACCTACTCTTCAGTTCATTGCTATGGATGTGTATGGAAAGGAGGCTGAGAAAATTCTGACATCGGCCTCATGAGCAGTTTGTATAATTGAAGGGAAATAGAAGACAAACGATTTACTACTTGACGGGGCATTTATGAGACCTAATATATATTTAATTCCTCATTTAATCGAACATTGCCTTATATTGACATAATCACCGCTTAGGTATGTTACATGAATTTTACATGTATCGAAAATGGATGGTATATTTTGTGATTCATGCAACTAGATGTTCTAGAAGTGGTTCCAACTCTGGTGTTTTCATTTACGTGGGATCTAGACGCGAGGTCGTCCCAGATCAAGGACATGTCTCAGTTCCCGAAATGTCCGTTCATTGGATCCATTGTTTTTGGGTGACTCGTTTCACATTACGTTACATAGAGCCAATGTTTCAACAATGTGATTGTCAAAATCTCCTGGAATCACAAGATCCGTTCAATGCACTTGGCTACGGACCTTCTGTTATTCTCCTATCAGTTCACCTTCTACACTATAGAGCTTCATGCGGTACGTCGATTGTGGTTTCGGAGCAGGAGACTGTTCGTCCACTTAATGAGCTTAACGAGGAGCAAAGACTGGTATTAATGAGGCTCTACGCCATGACAACCTCTATGCCCAGCAAATGGCAGGCTCCTGAAAGGCTTTTGAAGTATTGTACGCGAAGCCATCTGATTTATAATAGTGGAAACTGGTTCAGAGATTGATGTGCTTATTCATATCCAACCACCCAGTTAAAAACAATCCGCTGTCTGCTACCCTAACAGAGATAGGAGCCAACTTGTGAGATTATCAATGTTTATCCAGTTGTATAACTTGAAGTAGTGCGTATGAGTCTACCCATATGATGAAAGATATCACTTATTATTTCATCGTCAACATCGGTTATGATATGGTGGGCTCACACAGCGCTTTACTATTGAGTGGTTTAAGCTGGACAAGGTGGGAAACGCACACGCACAGACACACACGCACATACGCACACATGATTATATAGTCCCCTTGGTGATTGGGATTCTTATACAACTGGCTTTCGGGCTAGTAGACTAGCCGGCGTCCAATGGTATACAGCGCCATATGGAATTGCCTTAATCAACGCATCCAACGAAGCCTCAGCCTCTTCGCGGGGAGGCAGAGCTGCAGCACTAGTTTTATACAGGGAGTTTATACCTGGAACGTAAGCCATTATGCCTACCCTGGTAACAATTGATATGCAGCTTTTAGAAAATGGCTTTGTTTCAAACTTCAAAACTTCCAGACCAGCATCTTTCGAACGATTGGGAAGATCTTGTATCCACCTTTACGATACTATGAATTAGCATGGATAACTACGGCGAAAATGTACTCTTAATATTATGGACTTACGAGTAGTCAAAATGCGTAATTGCTTGGGCGGTGCGACTGAGGGCAGCAACTGCTTCAGCTTCGGCACCTTTGATGTGCATCTTGTCAAGGTCCGCTTCATCCCACTGCAAATACCCCCCTGGCTCTGCATGTTCATAGAGTTCAGATTAATGATTCGTTTGACGATAAGTGAGTCTGCTGTGAAAGTGGAAACCTACTCAATAGCTGTGTAGCGTGCTGAATAAGGGCAGCCGTATTGCAATCTCGCACTATACAGCACCAAAGTCTCAGATGAACTACGTCATAAACCCCAATCAATTCGTCAGGAACTTGAGAAAAAGCATCGAGAATTCGACAACTCATGTTATCGGGCCTGCTATCCTTGTGGGGGAACTGTTTGTCTGAGATATCAAAGGCATCTAGCTGTACCGTCGAAGGAACTTGCCGAGCTACATCCAGCAGCCATATACTAAAACATTGTTAAGCCAATCGAACCATTTTGGGCTGTAATCATGGGGAAACTCACCCGGTACCTGTACCTATATCGGCAATCTTCATTCCAGGAGAAATTGGAATCTTGGGGTCGATTGTATACCCATTGTGGATATTGAAAAGGAGATGCTGAGTTTCTAGTCTGGTACAAGTTAGACCAACTCAAAAAGAATGTAAAGAATGTTGATTTGACCTCAAGCCTTCCGAATACTCCCTTCCTAGCACGTAGTCGTCTGCATCAGACATGATTAGATAGAGATTACTGCGAACCGTACGAGTGACAAAAGCAGGTCTTCGTTATCACACAACTAAAAAAAGAAGAAGGAGAAGAAAAGAAATTGGAATTGGAATTCAAGGAGAGCTGCGTAGTTTATAAATCGAGATGTGGCACCATCGTTCTTTAGCATGCTAAGCTGATTGACCGCCGTATTTGAATAAGCCACCCCCATTGGCATTTAGGGTATTACTTCCTTGCAGCAGCCCTCTCAGATTAAAATATTGGAAAACCTTCAGAAACTTAAGTGGATCTATACTCACTTGAAACTTTATAATAAGCCGGATGTAATACAAGTCGTAAGAGCTTAGCTAGATTGCCCGCAAGGACACGAGACTTGGCCCTATCCCGATAAATGCCGTCGTTTTATAGAGTTAAGATGTTGTGATTTTATAGATTGCTGAATAATGACTTCAGTGCATTTAAACTAAAATGGCAAATATCGCAGTTTTCATGCGACTTCACGGCTATTCTTGTAAGTTAGCAAAGGGCTGTCCCCATTAATGTCTTGGCTGCCGTCCTGCGCTTTAATTCATTCGACGTAGCTGAGCGCATATTAGCCGCTAAAGCAGCAATACTTCCAGCGCCGGTTCCAATAGCGCTATAACTCCGCATTGGTTATAGCGGTATCGAGAATCAATTCTGACGTGTCTGACATGTAAGCAGCCACTTATATTAATGTTCAATTCATCTTCCCTAGGAGTCGTCACACCAATGGTCGGAATATCTATCTACCTAGCTCTTTTCCAGTATTCAATACGAAGGCATAAGTTACGAGGTCATTGATATTACTAGAAGAGGTAAATTATTAACAAGGCACAGACTTTTGTACCATTGATAACAATAACTGATGAAGTAAGCTACAAATAGCTAATACGTTTTTGTGTATCTACCAGAGTACATATATGGGAGTGAAGCAGCTATGCACTGTCGAAAGACGAGCAACACTAGGACCTGTTAGGCCTGGATTTGGCAGGATAGACGTGTGTTAATAGCAGTTAGAGATCTGCAATAGGATACAATAGCAACCTATGTTAGAGTACGCCCTAATTCTCATTGTCATATAAGCCATACAGCTGAAAGCGGCGATGGAGCAGCTTCCACTATTCATAGCAAAGCGACATTCACTTGTTATTTGCTATTACATCTCCAATGCTTACTTTGGCTCCTGGTCGTTAAACCAGCATTTGCTCATCATGTAAATGGTGCGACTGATTTCTAAAATGTCCATTTGAGTCTGATTCCAATCGAAATTCGATTTGATTCGTTTCTTGTGCTCCGATACGTCTAGCTTCTCTCTCTGCGAGATGTATAGCATATCTTGTTTAATCCATAGCACAGCTGAGATGGCCACGTCCAATGAAGCTGACTGTACGGTTTGCCTCGGGCTTTGTTGGACAAATTGTTAGTCGCGCATCGCAAAAGAATGGCTCTCCATGACAAAGATGCTCTGCTGCATACAGAGTACTACTGGCTGCAGTATCTTTTGGATTCACCAATTGCTAACTCAGTAATATATTGGTCCGCTGATACGTAGTGTGCTGTTAATACATGTCAATGCCTATGAATCACTCTATTTCCATACATGTAGCCGCTAACCCCGGCGAACTTCATTGCTGTTAGCTGCCCCAAGCCCCATATGCTGCAAGCCGCCGATTACTTGCTGACTCAACACCTACTTGGCAAGGTCCGCGAAGAAAAGAGGGAACTCTTAAAAAATCAGCACAGATTTCTCAACTTCACCTACCAACCACTATAGCACTATTATCCTATCCAACAATGAATTTATAGCATGGACTACTGATGCTACTGCTGCAGGTACCACCAAACTATGGCTCGGGTGTTAAATAGCAGAACGGGTGCTGGATGACTTCTTATATTAAAATAATAGCGTTTATGTTTTTATCCTGTGTGTATATTTTGTCCTTGCGGTTCCTGTTCTTCTTCGTACCTCTTTGCCTAGATACAAGGATGCATGCGGTCGGGCTGCTCTGCAGAAATGTACTTGTACCCTTTTCAGACTACTGTTTCCTAATCTTTCAGCGAAGCTCAACAGCCTCTAGACCAACTTCGAGGGCGAATGCAGTATTTTGGACCCCTCCAAACACTTGTTAGAAGTCTGTGGAGAAGTATTTGTGTAATGTTGCAAGGAAGAGTAAGGTCCTTAGCTGTTCTCTCGCGCCCGATTAACATGATGTTAAACTAATTGACATCTGCCATAGTTCAACATTACTATAAAAAAGGCGGTGCGACATCCTTTTAATATATGCGGCCTCGAAAACAAATTAAACGCCAACCAGCGACATTGTGAGTTACCATCTTCAACATGGCTCAACATATCAGGAAGGCTCTTCTTTATGGGGCTATGCAACTCTCTTTGGCTGTGCTAAGCGCCGCCCATTGTCTTGTCGATGATAGCATCACCCAACGTTACCAACCAGTACCGTCCTCGGCGCTACCACCGCCACTCAATAAGGATGGCTACGCAGTTCAATACTTTGGCGATGGAGCATATCTCATCACTGATGGAAGTGGCTACATAAGCCTTTTCGTCGCCACAACTGTGGGAGGCATCCTCGTCGACGCTCCTCCTACAATTGGCCACAAGTTTCAGTGGGCTATTGGAAATATTACGAGCGAGCCACTGAGATATCTCATATATTCTCACTCTCATGGAGACCACATTGGAGGGGCCTATCTATTCACCAAGCAGCATAATGTCAAGACTATTGCACACGAGTTCACAAAGACGGAATTAGTCACAGCTAAAGACCCCAATCGGCCCCCTCCTGATATTACGTTTGCCGGAGATTATACCCTTCATCTTGGGAACCAAACGCTAGAGCTATCATGGAAGGGATTAGGTCCAATCCATGACCCTGGAAACATCTTCATTTGGGCACCTCGACAAAAAATCCTCATGCTCGTCGACATGGTATTTCCTGGCTGGGTGCCATTCTGGGGAATGGCTCTTACGCAGTCTACGCGGGATTACCTTTCGATTCACGATCAAATTTTAGCATACCCATTTGATCACTACATTGGAGGCCATGGAAAGAGCGGCGATCGAACAGACGTCATCAATAACCGCGATTACATTGCGGATGTATTGGCGAACTGTCGCACTGCTATATTGGCAAGCGCCACCAATAATACCGAGGTCGGAGTAAGCCAGATTGTGCCTCCCTTCTTGGCTGCAAATCCCAACAATGCGTGGGGCGAGTTCATGCTCTACTATACCAGAGTTGCAGAACTGTGCTACAATTTGACAACTCCGAAATGGGAAACTAAACTAGCCGGGCAAGACGTGTTTGGCTTTAGTCACGCTTTCAAAGCTGTTGGCGACATGAGGCTGGAATATGATGTTCTTGGCCCATTCGGTGTCATGTAGATTAGTTACGGGATAATTCTATCTTAATAGGAGTCATCTTTAAAAAAGTCGCGTGCAAATAACTTTACGTAGCGAGGGAATATTGCTACTTGCGTCTTTATAATGAGTAAGAGTAAAGGGTGTATTTACTATGACTTCATGAAGATTGCTATCTAAGAGAGCTTATGGCTCTTAAACATAAGAGCAAGTCAGAGTGCTGCCGGAAACTGAGCACTTCGTAACATCCTTGTTGTTGATTTCGACCTCGGTGAGGACGGCTCCGCTAAGAGAGACAGTTCTGCCGTTCTGGGTAGCTGAAGCAGAGCTAAATTTGACAGCAGGGCTGAACGAGGCAAAAGGTACGAATTGACAGTCATTGCCACTTTCGTTACACTCTTCAAAGTCTTCAATAATAAACTCGGCGCTTGTCTCACACAGTGATCCAGCAGTAACCTTGCTGAAGTTTTGGGTGACTTTCTGGCCAGTGCTCAAGTTCTCAAGAGTGGCAGAGCCACCAGTCAAAGATGTAGCTACCACCGACATGGCAATCTGATCTCCAGCAGAGATGTCAATGCCAGTGAAATCAGCTACGACGCATTAGTAGTTTGCCCTTTTATAGAGAGGTTCCGTTACAAAGCTTACCAGAAAACTCAGGGTACCACTCATACCAAGCATCGTATGTCCCATCGCCATACCAATCAATGCCGGTCTGCAGAATAGCGCTGTCCTTGAAGGAGGTCAGCTTCTTGTCTGATGTAGAGCATTTTCGTTCAACTCAATACGTACACAAGTGTCTCCGTCAATTCCCACCCATGCAGTGCCTGCAGCGCTGGAACCACCGCCGCCTGTCGGGACGTTCACAGTAGCCGAAGCAGCACTGTAGCCTGAGCCCTGGAGAATGGCGCCTCCCCAGTTAGATTGAACGCTCGCGTGAAGAGTGTTATTCTTAAATGGCGCTGAGCGGCGACCAGCGCGTCGAGCGAGGCGTCGAGCGAGGCCACGGTTAGCCGCAACACCAGCCAACGCGGCGTCAGCGCAGAGAAGCGCAGAGATGGCGATTCCGGTGATGAACTTCATATTGGCGAATAGCTTTGTGGCTTGAAAGGGAGCTCTTGCTGTGTTTGAGCAATGTCTGAGATGCTTGCTTTGGAAAGAACATGTAGAAGGGAATCGCGTTGTACTTATAGTTGTGAATATACAAATCTTTGGAACATGTATGGCCTTAACTAGCAAAGCGTCTGCCAGTTTGTGAAGTTTCAAACAATGGCTATTCGATCATTACGCATAAAAATACTCACACCTTCCCACTTGAAAGACACCTCCGAGCTTGTGACAAAACGAGATGCCATTTTAAGAACGGTCTGAAGCGCAAGTAGATAGCTATAAGTCGGCCATGATAAAAACAAAAGCAGACTGATCTAATCGCCATCACGTAGATGAACAGTACCCCGACGATAGACTAATCGCTGCATGAATTGATCCACACCTCCAAAGGCAGAAGGGTGTGGGGAGCAACGCGAGTTGTATCGTAGCCAGCTCTTGACCTGGTGAACGTGCCGAGATGCCGGAGACATATACTACAATATCTTATATCACGCCGCTCTTTTCTCGACAGTCTACAGCGATAGAAACCTGAATGAATAAGGCTATAGATATAATACACATTCTTTAATTAATCACATAATCAGTGAGCGACAGGTTTGTCCCTCTTGTTTTTCTCCGTATTATAGTTCTCACTTCACCACAGAAAAAGAGTTAATGTTTAAGCATTCGCGCACCGACGGTCGCTTGACGATTTTGCCCCCAAGCTGGATCGAATAGCTATCAATAGATCACTTGTTCATTTCTACCTTCCCGATGCAATTAGAGAAATGCCAGTCTCTACCAATGGGTTGAATCTCTATGCCGATGTTCCGGCTTCTCCACTTCCAAAAGAGGCAAGCGGTTATTGACTACGAGATTGTAGTAAACAAGTACCTATTTGCATTCGTATTTACCTACTAAAGCTGGGCATTTCCGTGTTTCCTTATCGTATTCTGATCAAAGAAGCTAGAAACCCCTATTACTACTTATCGAGCGTATTATTGATCATTATTCATCGTAAATCGATGGAGAGCGTTCCTGCTAGTCTCGTTGCACGTGCAGCTTCAATTTCATCTACTGTGATCTATATATATGTACTCTTTCCCTACGTTCCATGCCTGAAATGCACATGTTCTATCACAATGCTGAGTGTTCATTTGTATAACTAATCGTCAAAAGAAAGTGCCATTAGTAGCTTTTATATACCTGTGTAATTCCTATGGCTTTTCTATACGAGCTCTTATATCATACCCCGCGATGTTATTACTTTATCTTACAACAGTTCTTGCTTTTTGTTTCAAACTATAGACTACATAGATACACAAACATTCAGGTGCATAGCTGGTTCCGCTATAGGTACATGTAATCAAGTGTTAGGCGTTGCCTCGATACGCCCATTAACTTCAAACAGCTTTTTTGTCGAAAGATTATGCGCTTTTGAGCAATGAATAACTGAAGCTTAGATATAACATAATGTCACGACCCAACACTTATGGTCGTCACAACGGGCCTACAGGGTAGGACGGAACGGATTAACTATAATCCGTTGACCAATCAAAAGCCCACGCTCACTAAACAAGGAAAGCCAGGAAAGCTAGCTTTCCTTAACACCAAGGAAAGCTAGGAAAGACAGCTTTCCACTACGATCCAGAAACCTCAACTGGATATATAAGTTCACTTCACCACGCTCATTTAGATAACTTAGATAGCCAGTTGTTAACACAGAATTAAGATTGCAATACGCTCTGCACTGCTTACTATCTGGTGACAATTGTTATTACTGTTTACATTGCCCGAAGATCTCCTGATCGCTCCGCTAACATAAACCCAGAACTGAACTTTAGGTTTGTCCCTTGGGAAGCCCTTGTATTACTAACTATCTAGTGTACGGTTCGTCACACGTTAATAACTCTTGTTCGGACGGTTACTAGACCTACGGGCAATAATAAAAATGAGTTAAGAAAACTTCCAAGACCCAGTTGAGTAAATGGACTATGAAACGTAAGATCTAAACCTTGAAGAACTTTAACTGCCAGCCAACGGGGCGGAAGCTACTGCACGACTTGTAGCTATGGAAGAATTGGTATAATAACTTTAGCGCACTCTTGCCGCCCAAAATAGGGAGCTAGGCAACCTGCAGCAACAACAGGGAGTACACTAAGCCACTATTACTTAACAAAACTAAACCATCGATAACCTACAGCAGCAACTGCACAATCCACCAGCGGTTGCGCCCGCTGTGGCTCCAGCTGTGGCACCTGCTGTAGCCCCCGCCGTGGCACTAATGGTACCTGCTCCGGCAGACGACACTGAACTAGAACTAGGAAGAACTCTGAAACCTGAATAACTAATTAAATTTGACGGAGACACCACTAAACTTCGCAAATTCCAATATAACCTATAAACTTACTTCGAGTACTATTTTCCAAACACCTTCTTAGCAGATAAGTATGAAACTCGCATTTGTTTCGCAGGAACCCGAATGGAAGGTGCTGCCGCCGACTGGTTTAGCTTGATCCTTAAGGACAGACAAAAACCTCTTAACCAGTAAACACAACTCACCAAGGATGTGTTTAAAAGCTACGAAGAATTTGAAAACTAATTAGAAAAATCCTTTGGAATCACCAACGAAGCTTAAGAAGCTGAAAAGAAGCTTAGGGACCTTAGATAGAAGGGCCCGTGCTACAAACACACTTTAACGTTTATCTAACTACTTACTAAAGTTAATTGGACTGAAGAATCGAAGAAGGAAATGTACTACTATAGTCTAAAGCTAGAAGTTAAGGATGAAATTTATAAGACCGACCGACAGGCCGTTAGTTTTACTGACCTTACTTAGGAAGCGATTAAAATTAATAATTGACAGTGGGAAAGAAAATAAAAAAGAAAGGCAGAAAAGACTGGAAACCCAGTCAAACACCACCCTTAAGCCAACCAAGGAAAGAAACAAGACAACTATATTGCAAAAGATAACAGTACCCGACCTGGAAAAATGGATATCGATGACGTTACCAGGAAGAAGTTCCTCGGAACCTGTAATGCCTGTGGTAAGAAAGGCTATAAGGAAGTAGACTGCTGCTCTAAGATGACTTGCGGATTCTGTGGTAAGAAGGGCCACGATGAAGCCCACTGTTACACTAAGAAAAACACAAAGAAATCCGAGACCACTAAAGACAAGATCTAGATAGACATAATCACGGAAGTACCTTATGATTACCTTAGCTGGACAGCTTGCTATAACGATTTATGTCTTGTACATAAAAACAGTAAGGAGGGATCCGGATACTACCCTAAGAAACCACGAAACAGGAAATCTCATGAGACCGTTAGAATTAACACCCTTAATTTTTATAAGCAGCCTTACCCAAGGGATTTTGACTGCAACAGTTGCGAGGATTATAATACTAATGAATCGGACTATAAGCCCCTTATAACTAGAAATAGCACTAGAAGGGATGTATCCCAATGTGACAACTGCAGCTTTACGGAACCTTGCTCCGTTTACGCACTTTACGAATGCTTATCTTGCGGCTTATGGAATATTAATTACACGTGCGAGGACAATGAATTAGAGGACTCTAAGGATAAAACCCCAGTTACCTTTGAAGATGTATATAACAGTAATGATCCTAACGGCGATAAATGTCACTAATGCGGCGCGCTAGAACCCCGATATGATATAATATGCCTAAAATATATAGGAAAGTACGAATGCCCTTTATGCGAATTTAGAAACGAAAACTATAAATGCCCAGGATATTAAAGAAGCCCATACTGTAATAGCATAGATATACTATATATCTGCAATATTAAGGCACAAGGAAAAAATATATATGAATGTGAGATTTGTGAATCCATAGATTTAAATTATAACTGCAACGGATGCCGCACCTGCGGATTCTATGACCCTGAATATGACTGCATGTATGTTCTGGGGGAATAAGCAGAAGAATAAGAAAGACAAGAGGAAAGACAATGATACCTTGACAAAAACCCACCTCGCAGGATGACCCTAGAAGAGGCTTAGGAATAAATCAGGCTCACTAAAATTGACCTTAAGGATGCATATGACTAAGTTCCTATTTAAAGCCTCTTTAACGCCTTAGACGAAGACTGTGAAATATATAATTGGAAACGGTGCGATAATATGTACTGCTAAATATATGTCTTTGATAAACTAGAAGACTGGCATAAATATTAACTAAAATAAGTTAAGTATAAAGAATGTATAATAAACCATTTCCTAGACTGCACAATTGCATACTGCAGTATATACGGAGAAGAGAAAAGCTAATTTTATTGGATTACCCGAAAGCTGGCATAAAAAGGCTATGACTTTAAGAACTATTTAAACTGAAGTCAGGGGAATAAAGCTCTGATTAAGAAATATTACCGTTTGATTAAGGATTGAAATAAAGAATTGAAATGCTAATGGTGTGTGAAATACTAAAGCGCCACATGGGACTAAACCCATTTGGACAGCATCTAAATCGACTTAATTGGAAGCAGCAATAAGAAATTACGAATTAAAGGATATATTAATTAATCCCCAGTTATGATATACGTGGACAGTGGTGCGGATTGTAACTTTATTACTCCCAAAATGGTAAACCTACTTGGATTACTATACGCTAAGAAAAAACAACCGACATATGTGTCTAGTGTCGCCACACCTAATGCCAAGATAACAATCAATTACAAGACTGATTATCTCCCAATTACGATTGCTGGTCATACTGAGACTATTAAATTTGACATTATGCCTCTCAGTAACTGCGACGTTTTGCTTAGACACCCCTGGTTGAAACAAGGTAACCCACTAATTAACTGGAGAACTAAAGAAATACTCTGGGAAATAGACGTCACCCCGGAGCTGTGACTAAGCCATGGAGAGGGCAAGGAAGGCGAAGACACGCTTACAGACCTAAAAACAAAATCTCATGCGCAACAAAATAAAGAAAAAACAGAAAAAATAAGAACGGAACCTAGAAGAAAGGTCAGATTCAATATGGAAAAATTACCAGTACCACCTTAATATAACCACCGAAGAGTTAAGGGAGAACAAGTACGTATTGACTGAATTATTGAATGAATGAAAAAAGAATTACGAGCTCTAGACAAAGCCTTACTAGAAGTAAAAGAAAAAGATAAACTAGGAGAATTAGAAGAAACTCTCCTGAAAGCACCTCGACAATACAGAAGGAAATACAGAAAATTATTTAGCCTAATATTGGAAACAGTATAACCGCTTTACTCACAATGGGATCATTGCATAGATCTTATAGACGGAAAAATAACGAAGTCCTTTTTAATTTACAATCTCAGTAAAATAGAACTTAAAACACTTTGAGAATGGATATAAGAATAGTTAGAAAAAGGACACATTAGGCCATCCACATTACTAGCTAAATACCCTATTATGTTTATATTAAAGAAAAATGGGAAACTTAGACTAGTCATTGACTACAGACAGCTGAATGAAATTACAATTAAGGATTGAACCCTATTGCCGCTTATCACGGAAATTCGAGACCGCCTAACCGGTGCAAATTAGTTCACTGCCTTGGACCTTAAGGGAGCGTATAACCTGATTCGCATCCGCGAAGGGGACGAATGGAAAATAGCGTTTAGAACACGCTACGGACTATTCGAATGCTTGGTTATGCTATTTGGGCTTACTAACGCACCCGCAACATTCCAATGAATGATCAACCATGTACTATGAGCATACATTAATGACTTTGTGATTGTATACCTAGACGATATCCTTATCTTCTTGAAAACCCTTGAAGAACACGAAGAACACGTCCACAAGGTACTATAAACACTACAAGACGCTAATCTCCTAGTGGAACTAGAAAAATGTTATTTTTACGTTTAAGAAGTTAAATTCCTAGGACACCTGATTTTACCAGGATAAGTCCAAATAGACCTAAATAAGCTTAAGGCAATCCGAGACTGGGAATTTCCAGAAATAAGAAAAGGAATGCAAAGCTTCTTAGGCCTAGTGAACTACTATCGAAGATTTATCAGAAATTATAGCAAGATCGCTAAGCTACTTACTAATGCCACTTAACTTGAAGAAGACGAAAAGGGCAAGAAGAAACTAAAAGATAGGAAACTCGCGTATAAGCCAGAAATAAAAGAAGCGTTCAAATAACTTAAAAACGCTCTCCTCAGCGAACCTGTGCTTATTATATACAATCCTAATAAACCATTGGAAATTAAAATAGACTTATTAGACTTTGCTATTGGAGGAGTACTAATATAGAAAGATGAAAATGGGAAAAATCATCCAGTAGCATTCTTCTCGCGAAAACTATATGGGCTAGAATTACAATATCCCATCTACGACAAAGAGTTTATGGCAATTCTTGAAGCATTTAAGGAATGGAGACACTACTGCTTGGGAAGTAAGTATAAGGTTAAGGTCTATATTGACCACCGCAACATCGTGTACTTTACTAAGACTCAGAAACTCTCTGCGCGACAAACACAATATTTTAAGACACTCTTAGACTTTGACTACGAACTTATCCATTGTGATGGCACTGCCAATGGACGAGCAGATGCACTAAGCAGAAAAGAAGAACACTTTGAAGAAATTCCAGAATTCGAAGCCCAGATTCTAAGGAAGAATCATTAAGGAAACTACGAATAAATATGAGTTAATACCCTATTTGTTGTAGAAGAATATAACCCTATCCTTGATAAAATAAGGGAATGTGTAGCTAATATGGAACTAGAAGAACTCCCGGAAGAAGCAACCATTGAGGAAGGCTTGCTAAAATGGGAAGGAAAAATCTAGGTACCACTGGAATTATAATTAGAAGTAATTTAAGACTTACATCGCAGCATGATTGCGGTAGTACACTGTGGTGTCTGAACTACCTAGAACTACGCTATACGCTACTATAAATTTCTAGGAATGAAGAACAAAATTTCGGAAGTCATTAAGAAATGCGATATATGTAAGAAGATAAAAGACGAAAGGCATTGGCCATATGGAATATTATAACTAACCCTAGTTCCGGAAAGAAATTAGAACACAGTTATATTTGACCACATCACTGACTTACCTAAGTTAAAAGATCCACTAACCGGAAAATAATTTAACAGTATTTTCGTGGTTATGGATAAACTCTTGAAGCAAGTATACTTCTTACTATATGAGAAATCGCATACGGCAGAAAATTTAGTGTATCTCTACATAAGATATGTATTCGCTGAACACGGAATGCTAAAAGAAATTATATTGGACAGAGGAAGTACCTTTGCATTTAAATTCTGGTAAGAACTAATGGCTAAACTCGGAACTCACCATAAGCTAAGCACTGCGTTCCATCCACAAACGGACGGACAGACAGAACGGATGAATTAAGTTATTAAAGCATACTTACAATGCTACATTAACCTTTAGTAAGACAACTGGGTTGAAATGCTACCGATCGCACAAATGCAATATAACAGCTCTACCACGGAAACTACGGGAGTTACACCGTTCTACGCTAACTACGGATTCACACCAGAAGCCTATAGACTACCTCGCGATGGCCTAAATGCGGATAATGCACGCATCCTTGCAGAAGATATGATCCAATTACAGGAAGAACTTAAAGTTTAACTTGAATTCTTTAGGCAGCGCACAAAGGAATACGCTGACTGAATAAGGATTGAGGGACTAACCCTTTAGGAGGGAGACATGGTTTACTTACTATGACATTTACGCAATAAAAAATTGCTAAACATTAGAACAAATAGGCTAAGTGATAAATTGGATTTTAGAAAACTTGGACTATTTAAAATTCTGAAGAAAATCGGCGAAGTTAACTATAAATTAGACTTACCTGAAAATATGAGATTAAAAACAGCTGTTTTCTATGTATTACTACTTGAGAAAGCACTAGTGGACGAGGAAATAGGTAAACCAATTATGGATGAAATTATTATCTAAGACATTGAAGAAGAATATAAAATTAAAAAACTACTTTGCATGTAAATAAACGAAGAAACAGGAGAATAAGAATACCTCGTTAGATGGAAAGGATATGATTCTAATGAAGACTCTTGGGTTCTAGAAAAAGAACTTAAGAGGAGCGCTTAGATAATCCTGCGGGAATTTCATTAGTCTCTAGGGGTGGAAATAACGATGGGTCCAGTTCAAAGGCAGACCAATTAATGGCGTCGACGGACTGGGACGGGCTGACGGTAGAATTAGGCGCTAACAGGGTAACCTGATGAGCGGCCTCCGCTTTGCGTTCCTCGCGCTTAACCCATTCCAATTCCTCCAAATTATCCAGCCCCCGCGCAATTGCATGTTCCATCCTCCTTGACCACTCTCGTTTCTGGGTACGAAGACGTTTAACCTTTGCACTAAGCTCTAACTAAGCCTCTTTAGCTTCCTTGAGCTCCTTATTTAGTTTTGAATGATAAGACGTGACTTTTTGCATCTGTTAAGGGGTAAGACTAAAAGCCTTACAATAAGATTTTTAATTCTTTATATAAGATAAATAACGACGGGAATTCTCTTCCAAAGCAACGCATTTATAACCTTAAGACTCGCAGTAGGTGTATGACTTTATGATAAGAATGGAATTCTCTAGTATAGTGTCAGCAAGACCTTCACGCTCCTCTTTCTTTCGCGTGGAAGTATCGTTATTATCTCGCTTGCGTTTAACCATGATGAAAACAAAGGAAGAAAACTGAGGAAGGAACAACTCACCTAGGAAGGAAGACAGGTGGGGATACTTATATAATGACGTAACTAGGTCTTGAGGATAAGACCAATAAGGAGGGAGTATTGTGTCACGACCCAACACTTATGGTTGTTATAACGGGCCTACAGGGTAGGACGGAATGGATTAACTATAATCCGTTAACTAATTAAAAGCCCACGCTTACTAAACAAGGAAAGCCAGGAAAGCTAGCTTTCCTTAACACTAAGGAAAGCTAGGAAAGACAGCTTTCCACTACGATCTAGAAACCTTAACTGGATATATAAGTTCACTTCACCACGCTCATTTAGATAACTTAGATAGCCAGTTGTTAACACAGAATTAAGATTGTAATACGCTCTGCACTGCCTACTATCTGGTGACAATTGTTATTACTGTTTACATTGCCCGAAGATCTCCTAATCGCTCCGCTAACATAAACCCAGAACTGAACTCTAGGTTTGTCCCTTGGGAAGCCCTCGTATTACTAACTATCTAGTGTACGGTTCGTCACACATAAAGAAGGCATATAGAGGGAAAACATTTTGTAACTTTTGTTTATGTTTTTTCATTAACATGGGGCTTCTGGCAGTAAGGTTGCCCGGCGGCAGACACATGATTGACAGAGCCAACAGTGAGAGACAAATGCTTTTACCTACGTATAACGAACAGATGCAAGACTTATTGATCGTATGGTTTTCGAAAATCTTTCTGACAACAATGTATTAACTGCCTATGTCTCATTGCACTATACAACGAACAGATACCGACAATTCATTTTGCATGCTTTTCCCTGGGTCTCATTAGGAAGAGCCCTACACCTGCTGTCCAGATGGTTTGACGGCTTGGCAGATCGGGCTGATACTTGTTTAGAACCCATACCTTTTTTAGGTTGCGGATTTAATTCGTCTTCTCTATAGAAATGCAAGATGGCTAGCATATGGTAGTTCAAAGACACCCGATTTCCATGCAAAATGAACTCCAGCTATTGTGAAACCCACGATAGTATCGGAACAAAGTTCTAGCGGATATATTAAACGGCTCTTTGACGTATTCTCGCCTTGAGGTCTTTCTAGTCGACAGTAGAGCTACTCCGCTTGCGATGTTTGAGTGCTGTTTCCTAGATTGAGTTCACAGGCGCGCTCTAACGCTCGGCAAAATGACTATCCGATTGTGACGATTTTTTTCTAATTTCCACATGGTTAGTAAACCAGCCTGCATTGCGAAAGAGGTTTTCAATTTGTGGCTTGAGTATCATCCCCCCAAAAAAAGACACAATGCTTCATGCCATTTCGCGCAATCCGTAGAAGAAGCGCAGCTGCAAACAGTTCCATAGAGCTAAAGTCTGTTTTTCATGGAGTCCGAAGATGGAGAAATAATGGGGGAAGGAAGAAAAGGAGGAAAAAGAAATGAAGGAAAAGTTAAAGGAAGTGGAAGATTTTTGCCAACAAATGTTCGGATATTCCTATGCATAAACGTATCGGAGTAATAAGAGACAGGAAAATGCTGCCGAGTAGGTATAGGGCTTACAGCTACTCCTCATATCTAGGACATTTTAGTGGAGACCTACTTGTCCGGCTCTCTATTGTTTTGGGTTCTGATTTTTAGGGGTAAAATGGATGGACGCTTGTTCGGCGGTGGCGCAGGCTATTGTGATATCGGAGTAATACCAGCAACAAGCCCCTGTGCAGTTAATTGTGTACTGCTTCGCAGTGCTGGAGAACGTTACACAGTGTGGTGGCTAAAAGTGTCACGCTGTTAAAGGCTAAAGAGTTTGTATAGAATAGCGGCTAAAAGTCCCGTACAATCAAGTGGCTAAAGTACCATCATTTAGCAACGGCTCATGCTCATGGGGCAATAGAAGCGAACATCCACCCCACTTCCCCACATTCTTGTCTTATAGTCAAGTTTAAACTTAGCTGCCTCGGGTTTGTTTTTACTTCTCAGGATGGATTGTTGTAAACGAGTTTGTACGATGTTGAATAGAGCTGTTAGAACATTAGATTGACGCCTAAAAATACACAGAGATTTTCTAAAATTTGAATACGCAGAGTATAGAAAGCATGAATAACTCAATTTTATACTGTCATGTTACCTTGGTAGAGACCTCAATTTTTCATTTCCAACCTTGGCAGTCGGTACAGGCTCAATTTGCCTAAGGAGCCGGCTTTCATGTGTGTTAGCCGTACGTTTAGGCATTTAGCGTCCTAGGAGTGTAACATCGTCTTTTGCCATCTGGAAAAAAGTATGCTGCTTGTAAGAGTTGGAGACCAATGCTGGCTGTTGAATCGAATAGGCAGGTTAGGTAACCAACAATAGCCGAGAGGGATAGCGTTGCTGTTGAAGATGTCAGGATGAAAATTGTATATAATCCGATGGCCTCTCTCTCGTTGATTCGAATCTTCTTGAGTTTTACACATCACCTTTCTTGAAGCATTCAATCTCAGTCAATACAAGGTTGCGCATCATGTATCAGAAACTAGCAGCAATCTCGGCCCTGTTGGCCGCTGTTCGTGCTCAGCAAGTCTGCACGACCCAGCCAGAGACTCACCCTGCTCTATCATGGTCGAAGTGCACATCTGGTGGAAGCTGCACGACTCAAGCGGGCAAGGTAGTCCTCGACGCTAACTGGCGATGGACTCACGCTTATCCCAGCGGTAACAACTGTTATAACGGCAATACCTGGGATGCCACTCTATGCCCTGACGACGCAACCTGTGCGAAGAACTGCTGCTTGGAGGGAGCCGATTACTCAGGAACTTATGGAGTCACCACCAGTGGCAACCAGCTTACCATTAACTTCGTCACTCAATCAGCTAACAAGAACGTCGGTTCTCGCCTGTACTTGATGGCATCCGACACTGCGTATGAGGAATTTACTCTCTTGAACAACGAGTTCTCTTTCGATGTTGATGTTTCCGGGCTTCCGTGAGTTACATCCTTCTCAGAACAAGGCTTGCTAGCTAGTTCTAAACTAACATTGCTATCATTAGATGTGGCTTGAACGGAGCTCTGTACTTCGTGTCTATGGATGCGGATGGTGGTTCATCCAAGTACCCAACAAACCTTGCCGGCGCGAAATACGGCACAGGATACTGTGACAGCCAATGCCCTCGTGATCTGAAGTTCATCAGCGGCCAGGCCAACGTTGAAGGCTGGCAGCCATCTTCCAACAACGCCAACACTGGCATTGGAGGACACGGAAGCTGCTGCTCTGAAATGGATATCTGGGAGGCGAACTCAATTTCTCAGGCTCTTACTCCCCATCCTTGTGAGACTGTCGGCCAGGTTACTTGCTCTGGTGATGACTGCGGTGGTACCTACTCTAACGACCGATATGGCGGCACTTGCGACCCTGATGGCTGTGACTGGAACCCATACCGCTTGGGCAACCACACTTTCTATGGCCCCGGATCTAGCTTCACCATTGACACTACCAAGAAGATTACTGTTGTTACGCAGTTTAGCTCGACTGGCATCAACCGATACTATGTTCAGAACGGCGTCAAGTTTGTCCAGCCCAATGCTTCCGGCCTTAGTGGCTACACTGGCAACACGATCAACAGCGCGTACTGCTCGGCTGAGCAGACAGCATTCGGTGGAACTTCTTTCACGGACAAGGGCGGCCTCACTCAGATGAACAAAGCCCTTTCTGGCGGCATGGTTCTGGTCTTGAGTTTGTGGGATGATGTGAGTAAATGTCCTATTGATAGAACTAGGGAGACGTCGCTGACAGTTATGATTCCATAGTACGCGGCCAACATGCTCTGGCTGGACTCAACCTACCCAACCAACGATACCGCTTCCACCCCCGGTGCCGCCCGAGGAAGCTGCTCTACCAGCTCTGGTGTTCCCGCCACTGTTGAACAGCAGTCTCCTAACTCCAAGGTTATCTTCTCCAACATCAAGTTTGGCCCCATTGGCAGCACTGGCGGCAACAGCACAACCGGCACTCCCACTGGAGGCGGCGGTGGCCCTACCAGCACTGGAAGCTCTCCCGGCGCAACTCAGACTCACTACGGACAGTGCGGTGGTACCGGCTACAGCGGCCCTACTCAGTGTGCTAGCGGCACAACTTGCCAGGTCCTCAACCAGTTCTACTCTCAATGCTTGTAAAGCCACCTACCTTGAGAGCAGGTGTTTGTCCAAGATTTATTAGGCTTGGGACTCACTTTCCTGTGTATACTGTTGCTGACAGTACACGTTCGTTTATTTCGGTGGAATTTCAGTTGCTTGCTTCTGCAATGAATGCACATTAGGCTGGCCAAAAGAGCCATGACGCTTGTGAATACTTTACTGTGAGTGTTTATATAGAAAGAATATGAAAAAGTTTAAATATTTGACTGTTGTCCCATGTTCTCCATAACACAGAAGATCAGAGTACCAAACAGACTAAATCGGTCAGATAGCTACATAAAGTGTGCATTAGGATAGAAATTGCGTTGGAGGGCGCTGTGCAAGAAACCGGTCAAAGCTCGTGATGAGGAGATCCAAAAGACATGATAGCTTCATGGGATATTGTGGTTGAGTTTGTTATGTAATTTCATTCCGTCAAATCAGCTGAGAATGAGCTTTTTCTTAAATTTTTAAATGACGGTAGCTTCTAAACTGGTTGCATAAGTTTGCATCAGGTGAGATCTCCAAGGAAAAATAAAGATGTTAATAGGGCAGTATCGTTCTTATTGTCTATGACCTGGATTAGCCCACGATGTCTTATTAATATCGTAATGCGCCTTGGTTGGCTAATAATGGCATAAGGAAATGAATTTGATTTTAAGTCGCACAGCCATTGCTATTACATGAAAGGCCAAGATTGGAATCACAAGATGAGATTCATTCATGTTAGCAGCATCGGGGCTCTATGGCATATGCAGACGACAAAGCTTCTGCAGAAAAGTTGCACAAAACACCACAATGGTTAAGTGTTAATATTTACTAGCAGTCAGTCAGCTAAGACTACCTATAGTTTACGGATTGGTTACGTGCGGGATTTAGTATAGAAGAAAACATATCTCATGATAATTCAGCTACAATAAGAGTCAAAAGCGTAGATATGAATGTTTTGGAGGGAATGTACAGGTTTCGGAGTAATGCAATATAGATTAAAATCCTTTATAACTAATAGTCCACGTTTCAATGGTAAAGCTCGTGAAATGGTCCAAGACATGGCGCTTTCTTGTGTCGTTTATTCTACTTTGCACCTCCAAAGAAAGAAGAATAGGACGCTTGTACAACAATTGCAAAGTTCTTACAGTAACAGCAAAATATACCATGAAGCTTTGTCTGGCATGATAAATAGCAAATGTGAACTTAGAAACTAATAGTGTATGGCAGTCTTCGTCATAGAATTGTGGGAAAATAAGCTGCTTTATGCCACGGGTCTCCAGGCGCCCTCAAATATCCTATAGCAGCCTATATCACTATAACCATTTTAACACCATTTTAGCCTTGAGACGCCCGCCAACGGGTCCCAGCGTTGCACTCCAGCAAATTAACCACCTGATATTCAATGGCTAAGCCCTCTTTATCTTGCTCATTATCGCCTGTCGTAAGCTCAATTTGCCTACCTTGTAACTGCAGATACAGAATCTAGACCAAATCTCTTCACAAAAGGCACCCGCTTACCCGACCCGTGAACCCTGGTGAATACTCAGCCTAAATGACAACCCCTCATATAGAGCCCTTTCTCAATGATCATGCAGAATTTGATAGATTCGTGAGGCCGGACGCGTTGTATATATAGAGCAAAATGGAGCAAGCTGAAAGTGGTAGGTCTTGCAGTAGACATCCTCTCCGAACAGCAGGAATAAGTCAGAATGCTGCGCAAACTTAGCCTACTGGCACTAGCGGGCCTTGTTTCTCACTCGGTTCAGCAGAGCTGTGCGGCCTTATAGTGAGTCAAGTCGGCGGTAAGAAAGAAGAGTCAGTCCTCACTAACGGAAACTCAGTGCCCAATGTGGAGGTAGTGGATGGTCTGGGGCGACATGCTGCGTTTCAGGTGCACAATGCAACGCGTTAAACGACTTCTATTCTCAATGCGTACCATCGACTGTATGAGCTGTAGCTGTCTTGAGCGGAACTATTCTAACACCATGCAGGGTAGCAGCGGCCCTACTGGATCATCGTCTTCAACTACCTCGATCCCTCGTTCTCAATCATCATCCACTAGCCAGTCATCCGTTGGCCATTCATCTGTTACATCGATTGGCCAATCAACCGGCGTGTCCACGTATACCACCACTGATACCTCTACTGTTGCTCTCCATTCACAGTCTCCTTACCCGAGTATTGCTGCGTCCAGCTGCGGCGCATGGACCTTGGTTGATAACGTGTGCTGCCCATCATACTGTGCCACCGATGATACCTCGGAGAGTTGTACTTGCAGTAGCTGCACTACACCACCTTCCGCAGATTGCAAATCCGGAACTATGTATCCCGAAGTCCATACTGTTAGCACTAATGAGACTTGGCATTATAGCGTAAGACTGTTCAACCCAATGCAAATAGCCGTGTCTTGATATGCTGACTTTTGGGTCTACCATGTTAGAGATCCACTCATTTCGGGTTGACCAGCGGCGGAGCCTGTGGCTTCGGCCTCTATGGTTTGTGCACCAAAAACAGTGTCACGGCAAGCTGGACGGATCCAATGCTTGGTACAACATGCGATGCTTTTTGTACAGCATACCCTCTGCTCTGCAAAGATCCTGCTGGAACTACTCTTCGTGGAAATTTTGCGGCACCAAATGGAGACTATTACACGCAGGTAAGGATAAAGTTTGCTAATCCATCTTCTACGCTGATCATATTCTAGTTCTGGCCTTCGCTGCCAGGAGATCTTGACAACTATCTTTCTTGTGGTGAATGTATCGAACTTATTCAAACGAAGCCCGACGGCACCGACTATGCTGTAGGTGAAGCTGGCTACACGGATCCAATCACCCTGGAAATTGTAGACAGCTGCCCCTGTAGCGCAAACTCCAAGTGGTGCTGTAAGAAAATCTTCTAGCCAATGCATGTCATAAACAACAATTTCTGACCTATATATTACAGGTGGCCCCGGCGCCGATCACTGTGGTGAGATCGATTTCAAATACGGCTGTCCTCTCCCTTCCGACAGTATGCATCTTGACCTGTCTGATATTGCCATGGGCCGACTACAGGGCAATGGCTCTCTCACCAATGGTGTGATCCCAACCCGCTATAGGAGAGTACAATGCCCCAAGCTCGGTAACGTTTACATATGGCTTCGCAATGGCGGAGGTCCGTATTATTTCGCCCTTACAGCTGTCAACGCCAATGGACCTGGGTCGGTCACAAAGATCGAGGTTAAAGGCGCAGGTTCAAGCACTTGGATTCCTCTCGTACATGACCCCAACTACACCAGTAGCCGTCCGCAAGAACGCTATGGTAGCTGGGTGATTCCGCAAGGATCGGGACCTTTCAACCTGCCGGTCGCTGTTCGTTTGACAAGTCCAACGGGAGAGCAGATTGTCAACGAGCAAGCTATTAAGACTTTCACTCCACCATCAACAGCAGATCCCAACTTCTACTACATTGATATTGGTGTACAGTTTAGTAAGAACTGAACATACACAGAGATAAGCTTTTCTTGGTAGTATCTCTGTTCATATTGCTACTCGTCCTTATTCTGTAAGAATAGTACCTAGAAGTCAGCGCTTTAGTTGTATTATGTAAAGGAGCGATAATGCGCTGGCAAATTTGATTGTGCGCTTTATCGCATGCCATCTGCATTCTGTTACAATTTAGCTTCTTCAGCTTGTCATTACTTCCTCTACGCTAGACGAAAGCATCTTGGAATGCTTGCTGGTGTAAACTCATGACATTGATACCAGTTTCCTCTCTTATTCGACGCATGTTGCAATAGATGCGCTATTTCGGGCTACTGCGGCTTAGGCGACGTAGCCGACCCAGTAAACGAAGGCAGAGCCAATCACGTGTTACGCTCCGAACGTTTGTGTTCAGCTCGCATGTAGATTCGGCGATCTCTGTGCTCTCTCGCCCATCAGCATGTCACTAAATTTCACCTATCGTCAGATGAAATAGCTTCTCTATAGTTGATAAACCGAATATAAACCCATGTCCTCTAGCATGGTGATGACAGCACGGCTCCGATGCTCCGGCCTGAGCCGACAGCGACACAAGGCTAGTTGCAAGCTCCCACATCCGGGTCTGAGAATTGAGTGCAATGGATATCCTTAAGAATAGCTTCTATCGCTTCCTCTATCACGCAACTGCAGTACTGACGGAGGGTTTAAATTATGAGTATTGTTAGCAAAAGCCAATTGGCTTGAAATGTTAACTTGAAAGCTTAACTTTTGATACAACTTTAGTACTACAGACCACTTCCACATTCCAAACACATCTTACACCGTAGAAACCTCAGCTGATGACTTGAGTAGAATACAGCATAAGCCAGAAACTTAAGAACACTAGCAACTACGCTATGGCCATGATTGCCGTTTGTCAAGATATCGTTTCGAGTTTCCGCTTATCTATTGAAACACTTGGGAATTTAATGATGACCTTGCAGATACCAAAAATCCCAATGACGTCAATTTCGAAGCTACCGCCAATTACGAGCTTTTGATGTGAGACTGGCGAAATCACTCCTCTCTTTACCGATGTAGTTATTGGAAGGAGAAATGGCGCTTTTTTTCCGGGTTTCCGGCCCGTCTCGCCACATTGCACACTTACGGACATGTATGCATACCACCTGGAACTACCCTAGGCGGCTGAGATGCGCGATATCATATGACGCATTGTGAGCACAACTGCTATAAAGCCTGTTGAGATAATCGTGGTATCGACTGGCTCAATCAAAGAGAGCCCTCATTTAGAAATATCAATGGCATATCACATATGGGATATCTACAGTATGTCAACACTGTTTACTGCTTCGAGAAGTCCTAGCATATGACCCCAGAACAAGCGCTACTGTAAAGAATTTATCTATCCTTAGCCCCTGGCAGAGGAACGCTGGTGTCTCTTTTGAACTGCGGTTTCTAGGTATTTGCATCCGACAACGATTTGAGGAGTGGTTCGATGTGTGATCTCTCGCAATATAAATATAGTGTCTTATATCCATAACATAAAATATTTCCCATATACTCAGTCAACATCTTAAAAGTTCCAGTCGTTCTTGCTCTCTTTCCTAAATTATCTCATCGAAGCATGCTAGACTTATATTCATTATGAACTCATTTGATGCTGTCGTTGTTGGTGCAGGCTTTGCCGGAATTCATCAGCTTTATAAACTTCGTGAGCTAGGACTCTCGGTAAAACTCTTTGAAAAGGCTCCTGAGGTTGGCGGCACGTGGTATTGGAATCAATATCCAAATGCTGCCAGTGACTCTCCCAGCGAGTTATACAGATACAGCTGGGATAAAGAAGTTTTACTAAACTACCCATGGCCTACACACGTTGTTCCCCAAAAAGAATCTCAGGCGTATTTGAAACATATGGTAAAGCGCCACGGCTTACAAAAGCACATGCAATTTTCTAGGGAACTCAAATCTGCATCTTTTCAAGATTCTTCATGGACTCTCAGATTCTCGACTGGTGAGACTGTCAAGACCACCTATTTGATTGCTGCCACAGGAGCGTTTAATAAGCCCAACTGGCCCAAGATTCCTGGGTGTGAAAGGTTCAGTGGTGAGCAATATCATTCAGGGTACGTATTGATACATTTATTCTCCTATCAAATAGTTCAAGCAAACACAAGAGGTATGAATTATTACTAAGCATTTTTCTGATAGAATTTGGCCTGAGCAACGCGACCTTAAGGGAAAGCGAGTTGGAGTTATTGGCAACGGCTCTTCTGGTGCCCAAATCCTAGTGGGCCTTGCCAAACAATCAGGTGCAAAACAAATTGTTGCTTTGCAACGCGAAGCAGCATATGTGGTACCCAACCAGATTGGACCAGTCTCAGCCGAATACAGAGACAATATAGTCAATAACTATGACGAGTTTTGGAAAGGAGCTCGAAATTAATTGCCCTCTCGGATATGGCTTTAAGCCGCTAACTACTCTCACATTCGATGTTAGCGCAGAAGAGCGCGAGAGAGTTTACGAGGCAGCCTGGAACGACGTAATGGCCTTCTCATTCATTTATAAAACCTTCTCAGATGTTTTAACCAGTGACGCTGCAAATAAAGAGGTTTGCAACTTCATTAAGCGCAAAATAACCCAAATTGTGAAAGATCCTGCAAAACGTGCCAGGCTTACACCGGAACCAGATGCGCTATATGCCAAACGACCTGTCTGCTGCGCGAGTTATTATGAGATTTTTAACCAAGATAACGTCGATATCGTGAACTTTCAGATGACCCCTCTTGTTGGAATTACCGAAAAAGGTATCCAAACTGAAGAGAAGCTTCAAGAGTTGGATGTTCTCGTTTATGCAACAGGGTTTGAAACCGATGGTAGTTGGGCCACAATCGACATTAGTGGCCCCAGCCAGACATTGAAGCAGCACTGGGCTGAAGGAGCAACTTCATACTTAGGAGTAATGGAAGCGGGATTCCCCAACTTCTTTATGGTTGTAGGCCCTCAGTCAGCAGTTACTAACATGCCTCCACTGATCGAGGGCCAGGTCAACTTTATCACAGGGATGATTTCCAAGGCTGAGGCTTTACAGAAAGAGAATGAAGCAAATAGAAAGAAATCCATTCTCATTACTGCTACTCAAGAAGCGGAGGACGGTTACATGGCAGAATGTCGATCTCTTGCAGAAGGAAGCATTTATTACAGGGATAAATCATTCCTTTTTGCTGATAATCATACCTCTAGGAAGTCAAGCAAGAACGGAAGGAATGTTCTTTGGTATTTTGGTGGCTTGAACAAATACTTGGACAAGGTCCAAGAGGTAATAGATACAGACTATCGCGGATTTACTTTTGCGTCTTAGAATGATAAACAGAAAAAAATAGTTTGACAAACACCAACCGTGATCAGATGACATAATTTAGAATATATACAAGCGTTAGGTTTATCACTATCTTTTAAGTGCAATCTAAAGTGGTGGAAAAGGTAAAAAGAAGATTAAAATTAAATGTACTGTGTTGTGCATCCATCCCCCAAACATCTTAAAAAATATCAAGTATATAATCGCAACTCAATTAACCTTCTGCTTCACTATCTGCTCTATGCGAAATTCGATCATCTCAGGACACTTGCTGCTGTATGCTGCCTGAAATTGATGGCATTTTATTTCCTTAATCAACACATGTTGCAATGGATGCGCCATCTCGACGCAACACTGCAGTCTCAGGCGATGTAGCTGACTCGGTAGACCAAGACACAATCCATCGCGTGTTACGCTTCAAGCGTGTATATCGAGGCCCCCGTCGACCGCTGTCCAGAGCTTGAAAATATCGGCACATGTCGAATTCGAAGTGGTCGATGTCGAATAATATGGGGTTAAATGGATGCGTGGAAGAACGGCACAGCGAAAAGTAACTATGACATAAACCATGAGTTGGTGCCATTTAAATGGGCAGTTAACGAATTATCAGAGGGTTACTCCAGAAAAGAGTATAAAACGTGTGACAGCAGCTGCTCCTAACCGACTTTAAAGTCTCAATTTTGTCAGGGAAAATGTTCTGCAGAGCGATCCACCGCGTCTGGGGAGATCGATCGCTAAGGTATTTTGCAAGCAAAGAACTGGGGCCGCATCTTCGGCCATATCTCTGAATGAGTCAGGGTCAAGAAGGTGCAATTCTGTAAGTATAGAAGTGCCACCAGAGCAAGGCTGCTCTCTCGAATCGCGATTGGAAAGGACAGCAGTTGGAACTCCTTCCGTTGGGCGGTGTATCGAAGCAGAGGTGCCAAGTCTCCGCGGAGCAAGCGGTTCAGCCTCGCTGGTACCGTTGTTGCGACTGATAACTGGAGTTTCCTGCACTGATCGTATGCCACAGGAGCTGTCTCATAGCGTGCGATTTGCTGCAAGAGAATGTCGCGTTGCTGACATTGTATGTTGATCATCGACTCGCTGATAGTGTATACTCAGGAGTCAGATGTCACCATGGCCTCTTCTCACACAATCCGGCAAGTTTGAGAATGATGCCATTTGACTTTCCGGTGGCGACAAGGGCTGCAATCAAGAACAAAATGCGTAAGGGTTTGTAAGATACTAGTAGGCGGGAAAGTATAGAGACCGCTGAACCTACATGCAAGCTGGAGACACAGACAAGATAAATGAACAATGGTTTAGCAACAAGTCGATTGCTTTCATTGCTCTTCGTCTCGCTACCTTGGTTCAGGCTGCCATTTCTCTCTGCCGCAAATTTCGGTGTGTTATGAACGTTGTTTACAACTAGGTATGGACCACCCGCTTAGCTGCCATTCGCTCAAATCCTCTCCTACCTCTTTCAATGCTAGGCATTTCATCAACACCAATAGCAGCTAACAATTGCGCAGTGAGACGGACTTTTAAAGCCCTACAGTTGGCAAACTATCTTTTTAATCCTTCACTTGACATCATCCAAGCTCTCCTAATCCTTGGAAATACCCTCCACAATCTCGGACAGTGAGAGGGTGCATGGGTTCTACTTGGAACCACTGTCAGTTTGGCATAGGCTTTGGGACTGCATATGGAATCTGTCAGACAAAAGCCGGGTGAAATCGGCAGGAATGTAAGAGCTGTTTGGTAAGTTCAATGCGCTTCTGCACTGTGTAGACTTTTGCTTTGCCGCAAAACATACCCCGAAGTTACACATCATGGCTAACTATCGCGATGAAGGGCCTCCACTGTATGGCAGAACAGTCTCTTGAGCCTTTCTCAGGGTCGACCTATCATCATAAGAAGCCACTAGACATCCCCTGTAACCCAAAGCACTGATCCTTTGACATATATCGACATAATGCACAATCTGCAGAGTATCGCCGTGGAAGTTATGGGCAGAGAAATTGAACTCCAATATTGATCGAGCAAGGATTCCTACATCATATTAAATGATTGATGATCCTAGGCGAGTATCTGTGGCCAGGAGTTAGAGTCATCAAACAACAAGCAACTAAATTCTAGTTACGCCTATCACCAGAAATGCTAGCTCGAGTTCCCGATAGTTCATCGAAACTCTGAAACAAGATAATGATCTGCAGAAACCAATATCCCAATCGACGCCAATCTTGAGGCTGCTGCGATTAACGACTGGTCTGCGAAACTGATGATAAAACTCCTGCTCCTCTCTTCAATAACATCATCGGAGCCAAAAATGGCTTTTTTCGGATTCTCGGCCCCCCGCCTCGCTACGTCGTACGAGTAAAGACAGGTATGCTAAACTAACATACCACTTGGGACTACCTCCGATGGCCGGCATGCGAAACATCATACAACGTACAGTTAATGCAAACGATTAACAACCCATTGAACCAACCGTTGTGCCAACCGGTCCAGTCAAAGCAAACATTGTCAATGAGGAGGGCATCGATCTAACAGCGATTCCTGCACCTATGGTCCACCTCTCGGATAGCGGTCGTTATATCAACACGTTTGGTATGCACGTTCTTGAGTCACCCGATGGTAAATGGACAAATTGGTCCATCGCACGCAATATGATCAATAGCGAGAAAGCTTTGACAAAACCAGTTGCAGTGCCGCAACATATTGGAAGGATGCTGAAGCTGTGGAAAGCAGAAGGCAAGGGCTGGCGTTGGGCTCTCGCCTTTGGCGTTCCTCCCGCTGCCATATGGCGTCTATCTCATCACTACCCGATGGAGTAAGTGAGGCTGGATATGTTGGAGCTCTTACTGGCCGTTCGGTACCGCTCGTTAATGCAAAACCAACGACCTATTGGTTCCAGCAGAATCCGATGTCGTGTTTGAAGGCACTATGTCTATCACCGAAACAGCGCCTGAAGGCCCTTTCGTCGAGATGCATGGCTACCCATTTTCCGGCGTCAACCAATTTCCGGTATTCCACGTGAAGAAGATCACTTACCGAAACGACCCTATCTTGCCTTTATCGGCTGCTGGTCATCTGGCGGACGAAACTGTGCGTTTTACATTCTTCTCTGTTCTTTCCGCTTCCCCACTCTTTTGTCTTTTCTTTTGTTCGCTACTAATCTCGCCGAATAGCAAACAATGGTCGGTCCTCTCACTGCCGCACAGATTATGAAGCTAGCTGTAAAACTGCTCACTTTCATCTAACCTATCCATATATAGTTAGGTAGATGTATGAATCTTTGTAGATTCTTGCAATTATAAAACCATATATTATAACATGCCCACCTTCAGCTTTTCCAAACAAGTAAAATTCCCATATGCGGGTTTGCAAGTCTAACTTTCCACTCTTCATTTGTCAACCCGAATATTTCTCTCGCATCCTGCGGTAGAGCTTCATGCCTCCACTCGAATCTCCCATTCATACCGCCCAGACGGGCTGCTTGTTCATAAATGCTTCTCTTCAAATGCCAAGTCATAAAGTCCACTCCGTCCTCACTTAAAAACACTCGAGAAGTCCACCCGTCGCCTGAACTAAGCTCTTCGGTGTATTGATTGCGCGGCAGAAGCCTATTAAGAGGAGGCTTTTGATACGATTTAATTCGCTCGGCAAACTCTTCAGTAGGATGTGGAACAATTCCTATAAAGAAGCCATCTGGTTTGAGATTCAAGGAAATGTTCTTGAACATGTTTATTAATGTTGCTTTGTCCGATGCATAGTTGAGGAACCAAGCGCCGACTGCCATGTCGAAATAGCCTGAACTCTTGTCTGGGGCGAAAGAAGTTGGCACTGCTCCATCTCCTTTCTCAAAGCGCACCTTTCCAGAAGATAATTCAGCTGGAAGCCGAGCCATCGCGCCATCAAGCATCACAGCTGAAATATCCATGCTCGTTAGATGATTCACTCCCCAATCTACAAGAGCAGACGAGTAAAACCCTGTCCCGCAGCCGAATTCGAGAACAGACATGTGTGGCTTAAGAAATGGTTCAATCGCTGAGTGCACATTATCTTTTTCTATGGCTCGATACGGATTGCTCTCGATAACATTATAAGATGAGCCGATAGAGTCGTACTGCGTCATAGCGGTGTAGCTTGCAACTCAAAAGATTTATTGCTGTTTAGTAGGTAGTATGAGCACCGAGCAGATGGGGCTTGGAGAGATTCAAGAGAGGTTGAAGCGGGCAAAAGAAGCGACTTCAGATTAACAAGAAAAGAATTCGCCATATAAAATGTAACTATGACGTTATTTGTGTAGGCAGAGCCGAACAACATGCTTTTGCTAGTGTTCAGTGGCAGAGCATGCTCTTAGAAACGTATCCGGACTCGCAATAGTGTGCATAAAGTTTAATAACCATCGACCTTTTATGGCAGGTGAGTGTCTGTTCGAACAGCCACTGAAAGAATAGCTCAGTCTTACGATACCTGATAACGTTGTATGTGAGCAGATGATTGGCGCGCCAGATTTCCCCAAGATGCAGACGCAGTTTACTCACTCTTTGTTAAGCCAATTAGAGCCAGAATACTTATCTATTGGCGCTGTAAAATATCTCATAAAAGCATAGAGTTTTCAGGTGTCGTTACACGACAATACCTCTTAGAGGCTCATCAAAGACACTTTACTTGAAGCTCCACGAACAATTCGCAATCCCGCACCAGCCATAAACCGTCGCGATAGCTCTGCAACATTCCTGGGGGCAGTTCTCTTTGCTACTCTCCCATGCATAGCATCAGAGCTACCACCCATCAGTGTTGGCTTGAAATTTGGTGCTTCATGAAACATTCGTACAACAAATAAACACATCGGTAGTAAATTCTGCCATTCTCCTGGCACGCGAAATCTCGAGATCGGGACTCAATATCTGCGAAATAGATTAGACTCCGCCAAACACACATTTTTTCAACGGAATTAAGCACGGTTGCGCAAACAGGCGGCGCTTCTTTCTTGAGCGATAGCGTAGCGAATATTTACTCTAGTTTTCTTGTTCACCCATGTTCTAGTTTAGATTCCTCTCATAGTCTTTACGGCAAAGATCTTAATACATAGAACACAGTCACTAGCCGTCTGGGAATACATCGATGTACTTAAATAAATTATTGTCTCCGCATTGTACCGCAAATCCAGGTCATCTTCGTAGCTGCAGGCTGTGTGCAAGGCCTGTGCGGTTTGGATGGTGTTGGATGAAATCTTGTCACTGGGAAACTATTTGCAAGTAAGTGAGAACGATACGCACAGTCTTTGTCGATCTTGTGAGAAATTGTAAATTCTCCAGTTAGAAAAATTGAAGTTGAACTGTCGCGACATTATGACTTGATATCCACCATTATCTGACCACTTTAGCTACTGCTCGGCATCTCGACACAGCTGGATGGAAAGCGGCAGATGCATTCCCATGAACTATCTTTTCTGAGGCATAATATTCTGACACCTAGTATAATGGTGTAGCGACAGATTTTGAAAGTCACAGGTGGTGTGGTGTGGTGATGCAATGAATAGCCCGCTATTCGTCGGCGTTGACTTTGACGACTGTTGAGGGATAGCGGTACGGCGTCATGCAAATCCTGCGATCGTGGATTCAAATAAACGAAACAACATGGGGTTATTCAGCCCCATGCTCAAATTCAATTGTGTTCGGCATCATGTATAACGTACTTTGATTGTAAAGCCATGCTCTAGGGAAACTCGTATAATTAACTTGCCAATTGTGTTTGCTGTATCGGATTGCTAGCATAAGCCCTCCAAGCGATTTGATACGAGGTCTGTAATGAGTATAGAATGAGCGACACTACCTACAAACTGACCGACTTTGTAATATCCAAGGTATTCACACTTGAACTGGTTATGGTATGTAACATTGGAACGACAGAGCTCTATTTAGCAGAAGCCAAAGCAATGAGTGTGAGATATTTATACTACAGGATACAGTTTACTGGCGTCCGTGTTTGATCCACTGGCCCCTTGTTGGAACGTCATGTCAATACTGACAGTCTTTTTAATCCCGATTATCCTCTCTTCGCTACCTTCACTTTTGTAATTTTCTAGATCATCAATGCCAGCTTCAAATTCATCACGTCTCCTTGAGCGGCCAGATTGGCTATTCCAATTCCCAGATCGGGGGCCCATGCCGTAGTGGACGCCATCGCTCAATTCGTACGATTGATCTTTATTTGAAGAGCCAAACAACAATGGAAGAAATCGACTTAAAGGCACTCTCAGCGACGGCGCGCAGGCACAAATGACGCCGACGGTTGATTCCACCTGGGTCCAGATAACTGAAGTTCCGGTCGCCCAGGTAAAATCGAGAATGAAAGTGGCATTGAAGTTGAGACTTATAAGGCGTTCGATACTCGTGATACATACACTTTAAGATGTCAGAATTGGGTAATACCAGCGACTGGAAGTTGCTTACAAGGCGCCAAGCACAAATACTGCCAATACACTGATCTTGGCTCGGCGGTTCATCTGTAGCTTTAGGACCACTGGAATGGGTAAACAAAGGACGATAACATCCATTAAGGTGTTCCATCCTGATTGGCCGTACCAGAAGGCTTTGATGTTTATACTGCTACAGCATTAATAGGACTATTCGTATGGAATCGACCGGGCCTACAAACCAAGATCCGGCTAGAGTCTTATCCCATGAAAATTGGACTGGTAAACATTGGAAAATTGTTGTGAAGCTGAGAGCGACTATTCCAGCTGATATATGGACGATGAGCACCCAGCAAATTATCCTGAACTTTCTTTGCGGAAATATGTCGAGATAGAGGAAAAGAAACGAGAGCTTCGTAATGGCGACGGTGTCTTTGACGAAACATTGAAATACAAAGAAATATAATAACGAGTAGTAGCGTTGTTCCGCGTTGAGAAAAGGAGCGTGATGGCCGAAGCCCCATTTCACAATGGCTGAGAGGTTAGTAATGGCTTCTTAACAATTCGCTTCCGGGTCATCCTTACCAATTGAAATACACGTCACTTGAATAATATTGAATATCTAAACAAACATTAACAGTATGATAGATATGACTCGCGATCAAGACTTACCAAACAAATAACAACACATATATCCGCCTTGTTCAAAGCGCCGTACCCATTCTTAAAGCACCTCCACCAAACACGAAAACAAACAATGCCTGTAGCTATGACAAGCAGAGGTATGTTCACGTATAAGAAAGTGTTTCCATTCTTCGTATCAGGTCCGTTGGGCACAATAACCTTCGTAGTTGCCATAGCCCCGACAGTGGGAAGAGTAACGAAGTGACAAGAAGTAGAATGTGTACATAAGTCAATGGCAACGATCTCAGATGTTGTTATCTCTCATCATTGTCTTTAGATCTTGACCAAAGCTTGGACGATTGAATCACGCTCAACGCGATTAATCTGAAGGAGTCCACTCGCTATCTATAAAAGACGGGAATGGATTGGATAATGAAAGCCATAATATACTCTTACTAGGTACATCCTTGATCCCAGCTTCGGTAGATGGAGTGGACCAAGCTTCATGACTGTCCCGTCCAGCCAAAGACTCCCTGGTACTTTACAAAGGCGTTTCCCACATGGTTTCATTTAGCGGCTCAGAATCAATACCATTGGGCTCAAAAACCCAGCCACTTGGAGCTGATGCTCAAGCAACGTTTCGCACAATACCACTGTTATAATTTGTCAGTTGACTGTTGGTCTGATCCTCTTTCCAGTGAATTGCGGTGAAGCAGCCAGAGCCGCTTGATTTTTTATCTTCGAATGGGGTTGAATTTGCAATTTACTGCAACAGACAATTTAACGAGAGCAATCCGGGAGCACGTTTATGCTGCAGGTACAAGCTTGGCTGCCTCGCGACATTTTCGTATGGTGCCATCTTCAGGAGTGTAGTATTCTACAGACTGCTTGCAACGCAAGCCGGGGACCTGGTAGGAACTGCCGCCACGGTGCGCAATCCGGTAGCTGAAACGTAAACCTTGGAGAAGAATCCCAGATATCCGTAGCCCCAGTTATTTAAAAGGGGCTCTTGGCATACGGAGTCATCCGTGCTCGTAATGTAAAAACCATCAAGTCTCCGAACCTGGCTATTGTCACTCTGTCTAGACTATATATTTACTAATATTTCTCCGTTCTTACTTCTTACATTGTCTTTAAAGCCACAGCCTGGAAGGCATGTCTCAAGCAGAATGGCCTGGATAGTTTTTGCTTCTATATTGTTCTTTCTGGGCAGCTTGCTGTAGTTGCTGTTACATGTTAGCTTATATGCGTCATAAGCAAGTAGTAAACAAAGAGTGAAAAATTGAATGCAACCTCCCCTTCCCCAAAGGAAAAAGTCCGTCCAAGGTATGAGCGCATTCTTAACCAAAAAAGCCACAATATCACCAGCAGGATACGACCGGGCATGAAAAGAACGAATAGCTTTAGCTGAACTCCTTTGAAGTCTGACCAAGGCTCTCTATTGGCAAAGGAAAAGATAGAACACAAATTCCGTTACACGCTAACTATATAGAAGTAGTGTACAACGCAATTTTAGAGCGGTGAAACCACTGAAGTTTTCCTATTTTCAATAAGTAGCATGAAGCAGTAGTAGATAGTGCCTGATTGGCAAAGGCGTATCGGCGCTCAAGTCATCACCGCGCCTTGTCTTCAAACTACATACTAGTAGTACGCCTCTGCTTCTCAGCTGCTCTTATGTACATACCTGAGCTAAAAAGCAGCTGAGATCATGTCTGGGACTTAACGCCAATAGTGTATGAGCTTGACTAGTAACGAAAAGGAGCTACAAGGTTTCGATATGCATACGACTCTACAATATGTACGTTGGCTGCACGAGTACGCCAAAAGGATTCGTGGCAATTGGTCTAGACACAATCCTGCGCTAGCATGGGCACATGTAGCTGTACAGATGAGTGGTCTGTTTCCAATGATACCTACGCTCTGCTATTGTACATCGTACCTACTGTAGACGGCCAAACCAAAGCTGTAAAATGCCAAGAATGCAAAGCAGAGGTTAACGGACTGTTTACCAAGACTTAAATAGCTATGCTAAATCGAAAGAATGGCTGCTAATAGAAGACAATGTATTTCTGTGCCTGCAACTCTGGTCGTAGGATCAAGCTGCTTGCAGTGAAGCTACCGATACAGGGATTCTGTACGGTAAGTAGGTACTAGCAATATTAAGGCTAGCTACCCCACTGAGAGAAGAAAGTTAGTATTACTGGGTTACTGTAGCACAGGATGGTAAAATCAGGGCCTTGTCAGGGAAGGTTGGATTGACAGGGCGGGGACACCGCAATATACTGCCGTTGCTAGAAAGAGAGCGAGACCCGAGAGCCAGTCTGGCGCGGGACACTCGCAAGCATAAACCTCTAGTGCTGAGATTTTCCACATAGTGCCCATCAACTCCTCTCCGGCCGTAACCGCACGGGCCGCGTCCACCGGATATCACATCCGTTTGTGACGTTACAGGGGGACCCTTGGACAACTTCGCAGGATGTACCCGCCTCAACGCAGGTGTGACATCCTGAAGTGTAGTCTAGCTGAACCAACATGCTCAGGCTTGTATGTAGAGGATACAGGGAGGAGAAGGGTATCGGCTACACATTTACCGGCATCTTGGCGAGGTAGCATTTAGTCTTGTACGGCATGCCTGGCACTGGCGGCCTAGTTACATTGTCTGCGACAGTTGTCTCAGATTTTGTTGAAGAGACCTCTTAGGCAGCAGAAACCTCTCTTCTTCCATCTACCTCCCACAGTTACGCACACCCTGTCCAGCCACAGCAATATTGTCAACTCAACACAGCAACATACACCGACGACAGTTATGGAATCGGATGCGGAGGTTGCAGCAGAGAAGTCTTTGGGCTTAGCCTCCGCGGCACCTGCATCCGCTGTGACCGATGCTGTTGATGTGGCTGATGGTCTTTCCGCTGCGGAGTATCGTAAGCTCATCTGGAAGCTGGATGTACATCTTCTACCACCACTTTTTGTACTATGGTTCATCTCATTGATCGATCGAGTGAACATTGGAACTGCGAGAATCCAGGGTCTTGAGAAGGACCTTGGCATGAATCCTCGGACCAACCAGTTTAACATTGCAACTGGTATGTGCCGGGTTGATGAAGAGTAATACGACATCATTACCTAACGTCTTTTATTTTGCCTTTTCTAGTCGTGGTTTTCATCGGGCTTATGCTCGCAGAGGTAATTGAGCCTGGGCCTAAATTTACAGTGTACAATACCAATCATCGAACAGGTTCCAAGTAATTGGCTCATCAAACGATATGAACCGGCAACCGTGCTCTGCAGCGAATGCATTATTCTCGGTAAGCAATCAACCGATACGATTAACGAGTTGACCATACTCATATTAGGCAGGGATCTTCACCATCTGTCAAGGGCTGCTTCACAATTTTGCTGGACTCGTTGGAATACGTCTTGTCATTGGAATCTTGGAAGCGGGACTTATTCCTGGTTCCATCTTTCTGCTGTCAGCATATTACCCACGATATGAATTGCAGTGGCGTGTAAGTATGCTACATGTTGGCAATGCAATTTCAAATGCCTTTGGCGGGCTTCTGGCGTTCGCTGTAGCAAGCATTCACTCATCTAACGGATGGAGTGGATGGAGATGGATCTTCGTTATTGAGGGTTTGATCACAATAGTCCTTACACTTGTTTGTTGGCCGTTTATAAATAACTGGCCAGCCACGGCAAAATGGCTCAAACCATATGAAAAGGCGGTTCTCGAAGAACGAATTCGAGCAGATGGCATCATTGGCCGCATGGACATCTTGGACAGAAAAGCTGTAATTAGATGTATTACAGACTGGAAAGTTTATCTCAGGTAAGATAAATGGTGGATCGCAGAAGAAAAGCTTGTACCTACTAACATGAGAACAGTGCTTTTATAATTATCGGCATTATTTCCAGCGTGTACTCGTGCACCTTATTCGCACCTACCATTGTCCAGGTTCTCAAACCAACATATACGCCAAGGAAGATTCAGTCCCTAGTGATACCGATCTTTATCTCTGCATCTATTAGCACTCTCTCATTTGCCTATATATCTGATAAGTTGAAGCATCGCGCGGGGATTGCACTGGCTGGCTGTTTTATTGCCATTATCGGTTATATCATTCTTCTCAACCAAGAGCATGTCTCGGTCAACGCTCGATACGGTGCTTTATATCTGATCGCTTCCGGGTCCTTTGCTGCTCTACCTGGAGCATGGATCCTGCTTTTGAACAATGTTTCTGGATCTTACAAGACTGCTTTTGCCATGGGTATGGAGATCGGTCTAGGCAACGGCGGTGGCTTCGTTGCTTCGCTATCGTTCCAATCCAAAGATGCTCCGTTCTACTGGTCCGGTTTCAAGACCACCTTTTCGCTCATGTGCATGGCAGTGGGTCTGATCTGCATTTATGTGGCTGGGCTTTGGTACGAAAACAAGCAGAAGCGCGCTGGAAACAGAAACGCTCTCCTCACTGAAGAGGGCGACAATTTAGGAGATGCTCATCCTGAGTTTATTTATACTTATTAGATGAGCTAACGGTATAGAAAGCCGTCCAATTTGTTATCGAACAGCACTGGAGCTGTTGCATCTGAAGCCTTCTTGGTCCAGTATTACTTTCATCAAACTAATAGTATTCATAATGTTTTAGTCTCCTGGCATTAGTCAAGCTAGACTTGGAATGCAAACGCTGCATTTTTATTCATATTACCTCTCATAGTTGCAAACCTTTACTGGCATTCATATACACATAATGTTCCTAACCTAAGGTGCGTGATCCATCGCCGTGATGTGGACCTCAAATGAGTGAAGACAACATGATATGAAGATGTCTTTCAGCATTTATTGAGCGAAGTCTCTGCTTTATTGGATATTCCCAAGTGAGGTTGCACAACCGATGGTTGTGTGTTACTAAGACGTGCGCAATATTCCGCAAAGCTTCCACGCACCGCTGAGGTAGTACCTCTCGCCTACCACATAATATCTGAGGCGTGCGACTCTGGGTAAGATCCGCAACTCGTATTTGGCATAGGGATTATGGGCAGGCTCAGAACCTAATGATCCGAGTGTAGCATTTTAGAGGTTTCGCAGGAGCCATGGTGCCGGTAACATACGAGCGTGTAAACGCCCCAAAATAAGATGTTCTAATACAGGGGAATGCCAGTGCGGGTACCGACGTTAAACACAGCGCATGAGAACATAATACGAGTTCAGATTACACGAAGTAGGTGTACCTCACCAGTTATATCAAAGGCCGTTGCGAATAGCTCAAGGATTAGGTACTTAGGTAGAGTGGCATTCTGCGTTAGACACGTAAGGCTCGGTATCGAGCCCTTGATACGTCTGTAAAGCCCAGAACAGCCTTTCGTTTTCGAGCAGCAGTAGTATAGGTAGACAATACTGGTCGTATTGGGCAGACATTTAGGGGCTCGTAGAAACCCCTTGTTCGTCGAAAAGATACCACACCACTGCGTCCAGGCCCCACTTCATGTCCAGGCTACTGTGCTGGGGCAGAGGAGTAGGTAGTAACACTAGTAGTGGCTGGAGCTGCATCAGCGTTGCTGTGTTGAATGCACGAAGAACGGAATCATACCCGTGTTTCCCGGGAAGGATTGGTTGCAAGCATGCATAAAAATTGGTTCAGTTTCCAAAGTAGTAACGCAAGATAATTTTTTTCATCCCTAAGAAGTGCGACTGCTGAAAATTTGAGCTCACATTGTACAGTAGCAGTCATATACATTCACCCTGTCGCTTTGTACCGAGCATCACCGCTGGAAGGGAAACATGGGTTCAGTATCTGAGCGAAAAGAAATCCACATAGCGATAGTGGGGGGAGGAATCGGAGGGCTCGCCTTGGCGATTGGTCTGCAACAGTATAGCCACATCCAAGTCAAGATCTTCGAGTCTGCTGCAAAGTTCTCTGAGATTGGCGGTAAGTACATAGTGGCTATGAGATCAACTGACCACTCAAAAGAAGAAAGAATGCTAAGACACTTCAGCTGGCGTTTTCTTTGGCGCTAATTCTATCCGTGCGATGAGCCTTATACATCCAGCTATTGGAGAAGCGTATGGTAGGATTTCGACAAGCGCGGGCTGGAAGTCAAAGGAAGATACATACTTTGACTTCATACTCGCACATGGCCTTCACGGCTTGCCCACTGGCAGTCATATCATATCTCCCAAGCTCAATGCGTCTGAGCGACATAGCACTGCCCACCGTGCACATTTTGTTGATGAGCTTGTCAAACTTATCCCCGGTGATGTCGCCAAGTTTGGCAAGAGATTGACAGACATCTCCCGCGATGAGGGCAAAGGGAAAACGATTCTCCAATTCGCCGATGGCAGTACTTCAGAAGCAGACGCAGTGATCGGATGTGATGGGATTCGATCGGTATGTCGAGAATTTGTATTAGGAAAAGACAACCCTCTGTCACAACCGACCTTCACTGGGAAGCACGCATATCGGGGGTTGATACCCATGGAGAAGGCTATTGCTGCGATTGGGGAGGAAAAGGCCCAAAATCGATTCATGTTTCTCGGCAAAGGCGGCCATGTTCTCACTTTTCCCGTAGCAAATGGTAAAGTGATGAATGTTGTCGCTTTTAGTACAACCAAGAATGGCACATGGGAAGGAGATTGGATTAAACGAATGGAACGGGAAGCTATAGCGGCGGACTTTCAGGGATTTGGACAGGAATGTCAGAAGATATTCTCGGTATGCTTCACCCCCACAGGTAATGTGAAACGTAAAAACTGCTGATTTGAGGTCTAGCTGATGGAGAATACCGACCATTGGGGTATATTCGACCTCTCTCCCGAAATTCCGACTTACTACTCTGGAAAGCTCCGCCTTCTTCTCTTAGGCGATAGCGCACATGCTTGTGCCCCTCACCAAGGTGCCGGCGCTGGTCAGGCATTAGAAGATGCGTATATTCTCTCTCACGTCCTTGGCATTTGTGACTCCTCATCCGATCTGCTCGCTGCATTTAATGCATATGAAAGTATACGCATGCCACGAGCTAAATTTGTCCAAATTCACGGTCGTCGACAAGGAGAACTTTTGGATCTGCAGAGGCCTGATGTTGGAGATGATTTGGAAAAATTGAAAGCAGTTATCGATGTACCAATCAGAGAAATTTGGAACTGCGATTTGGTTGCCGAATTAGACAAAGCATTGGCAATGATGCAGAAAGAATTGAACAAGGTGGAAGCAACAAACCCGGTATTGTAAGCGATTCAAGCTACTGGAGTAAATGTATAAGTATCATAATTCTTACCCAACAATTGTTTGGATATGTTTGGATGGATGGAAAGAGTAGCACCAGCTCAACAATAACTAAAATTGTCTGCAAGCCATGGTTCTCGTATGAAATACAGTAGTAGAGTTTTATTTCGCCAACGTGCTGTGAAGTCTTTCTCGGGCTGTCTTCGTCGTTACCAGCTTTGCGCGCTTTATCTTACACCCTTCTCTGCTCCTATCAGCGTAGAGTTTTCGACTATTAGAAGAAGCATACATTGGGCGTCATGTTTTCCTACTAAAATGGTTTCAGGAACTTTATATGTCGTCTATCTTAAAATACACAATGGGATCTTGAAGAGGCAGCTGACCACTGACTTCTCAATGAGCTAGCGGTTGCAGAACTTGGGCTACATGAGTCAACAAATTGGTTAGTGTAAGCTCCTTACTCAAAAGAAAAGAAATGAAAGATTAATGAAAGATCAATGAAAGACGGGAAAGGGTACAGAACGTCTGTATAAGTGGAAGGCAAAGATAAGCTTGGAATACTGGCTATCAGATCTTGTTCCAGAAATCCGCGATTGACTGAGCGACCTCGGATGCCTTTTCCCGCACAACTGCATGTCCAACCTGTGGAATACTAACAAAATCTTGCACCCCAATGCCAGATAGATCTTGAGGGCTGCATACATCATCGAGCTCTCCAAGGATATATAGATATTTGACGCCCTTTTCGGCTGCTCTGGCGAATTCGGTGCTGTTATCCAAAACCCCGCCGTCTCTGAAAATGGCTACCACGCTCGCAACATGGCCCTCATGGTTCTTCAGCTCCCAGTCTCGGACGGCTTCGGCCACCACCTCGCCTCTTCCTACTTTCTCTTTCCAATCTTGAGGGACAGTTAACTGGCCTCCTTCTAGAAATTCCAGGATCCACTCTTTTGCCGGCTCTTCTAGGCCTTCACCACCACGCACGTAACTCTTCTGTCGCTCGGTAAAAAGCTCCTTGCGGATGAAGCCTGCAGGGGCTACCAGCACCATAGACGCGACGCGCTCTGGCCTTGCAGCCGCAAAACTTGCAGTTACTGATGCACCAAAAGAATAGCCAACTACATGGGCATCTTCCCAGCCAAGATGCTGGAATAGAGATTCCAGCAGCTCGTGAAACAGCGCCGCGTTGTGCGTCGCAAATGGCGTGTCTGTGAGCCCGTGGCCCCACCAGTCAACCAGTACGCATTTCGCATGTGGAAAACGCGCCGACAGTGCCCTTGCTAGTGGCTGCAGGCCGATTGCGGGTGTTTGGACGCCATGCAGTAACAGCACGCGGGAAATCGCTGTCGCGTCGTCTGGTGGTGAGGCAGACGAGGGCGGCAGCTCATAAAAGGCAGCTCTGCCACTCTTTGTCGACAGGTAGGACGCTTCGGGGAGTACTTTGCCAAAGACAGCAGTGAAATCGGCTTCGGATGGGGCGCGTATTGGTTGTCGCGCGTCTGGCTGGGCAGTCCCAGGGCGGGGGAGTACAATTAGACTATCAGACATTATTTTCTTCAGCTGTTGATTATGTCCAGGCAAGGCACACGACACTTTAGCAGTTCTGTATGACTTTACGATAGAAGCGGCAAGAAGAGGCTTAATAGCAGAAGAGGCTTTCACTGCATCTAGGACCTACGAAAAGGAGGATCTCATGAACGATCTATATGTTCTCGTTTATACGTACTACTCTCCTAGTCCCTGCTAGCTTTCAGAGCGTTTCTTATCGACGTTTTATTTGCGTTACCTAATAGCATCAATTAGTAGTCGTGCATTTGTCAGATTGGGTAGAAATGGCGCAAAATGTATTATCTTTCTCTGGGAAAGGCTGGATTCTTGTATGCAGTCCAAGTAGGTACAGTATTTGTAATCGACTACCTGTTTGATCCGATTACTTGAAATGGGATTTTGATGATAGGTGATTAGTAGTACCCTTGTCTGTATTGCTACCGGCATTAATACGAGAACTAATGTGGTTCTTGGCTTTAATCAGCTCGGTATATTGTCGTACCGAAAATAGTAGGTTAGCATTACGACGTGTTCTTAGGCAGCAGCATTCAGAGGTCAAGCGATTCGGCGTTGCTGATACTATTAGAAGCAAGAGCATGTTAAAAGAAGAATTGAAGCAGCTACGCAAGGCTAGTCATGCAATATGTGAAAGAATTGAACGATCGAGGAATAGAGTAGTACTCAGCGTGGTAGACCAATTTGATCAAGGCTATTTCTAGATAGACTGTGCTCAGGCAAAGCGGTATTTGAGTCTTGAAGGATTGTTTGTTTGCATTATGTACCCTATGTATAGGCTACCCTAAGACATGTTGGAGGTCATGTCCTCGGAAAGCCTCTGCATTCTTTTTCCACGCATTGAGCAGGACATCTCTTCCAGCCTTGGCAATATCTTGTCCATCCTCTGGGGTACCCCAGCCTGGCGTTGTTGAGCCAATGCATATCAAATGAGCGCCAACATGAATCAGTACTCGAAACATGAAATCGCTATCAACTTTGCCATATCCGCTCACAAAACCTTCTATGATCCATAGAGCCGCATTTATTTGTTTGTACAGTTTCAATTGCCATAGCTCAGCAATAGCCTGGCCTAGGTCTTCAGCCCGTACGCCAACCTGTGCCATTTCCCAGTCGATGATCCGGATGGGAACAGCTTCGTCGCTATCAAGTGGAGCATTGGGTATTAAAATACTAAAATGGGTAAGAATCAATGTATGTGCTTATGATATGACGGGCTTTTCGATAAGTCGTTCAACTTACTTCCCGGTCCAAAAGTCGCCGTGAATAACACTCAGCTTGCTCTCATCTCCGAGCTCAGCAGTAGCCATGGCTACGATCTGCTCCAAAGTCCCCTTATGCTCCTGCAAGATGGCCGGAAACATGCTCAGTCGTCCAAGGAGCTGGTCGTAATTAATAGCCTTTTTTATGCTCCTCATGGCTGTGTTTTTGGCAAATAGCTTATGCAAGCCCTGATTGTCAGGCTGGTCACTCCAATTGTGAAACCCTCGCAGCCATCGTCCTAAGCTTTGCCCCAGCTGCAAGCATTGCGGTTTGGTGGACGCAGTAGTAGGTCCTTGAAAATTTGCAAGAGCATATGCTTTTAGGTTGGTTGCGTTTGGCAAATATTCCTGGACCTGTGTGCTTGTTTGAGAATTAAAATGATATAATTTGGGCGTTCCAACCTCATATGGTGGTGAGATGACGGCCGGAAATTGTGAGAGGAGTCGCAGCCCTTCTTCTTCAATGTTCTGTATTGATGGAAAGGCGCATCTCGCACGCGTTAGCAACAAGAGCCATCCACCGCCATACTTGAATACGGGAAACTAACACATCGAACCATTTCCAGCTTGAAGTCAGGGTGCAGAGCAACATATGCTTCTCCATGTTTCAATACCACTTGGTTTACACCTCCCGACAGCGGCTTGCGGAGTCTAGCGAGGTAGATAAAATTTGCAGTGCCCCCAGAAAGCGGCGTTAGCGATGATACTTCATATTCTGTGCCTTCTAGTTCCTTTCGGACTGCATTTTTAATCTCCTCGGTCTTGTTTTCCATCGAGATGGTTAGTAAACCAGAAATTCTGGTTGCCAAACTGCTATGATCAAAACCAGGATAAATAGAAGAAGAAGGAGAGAAAAAGCTGAACGGAGATGCATGTGAGGTTGAAGGACGGCGGTGATGCGGGCTATATACACGTGAATGCGCGCGTTAGCTTATTGTCGACAATCTCGCTCAACAGCAGAACGAACGAATAGAAGTGGAGGAAAGAGTTCAAAGTAGTCGAGCTAGCGTAGCAGAAAGGCGCTTCCACCACTCGCCGGTGAGTCACAGAAGGCTGAAACACTCCCCAGCTCCAAGAAGTAGAGAGAGCCTTCTAATTTCTATTCTATAACATGGGAAACTTGGACGGAGTAAGGGAAGTCTGCTTACCCCGCGGCCGAAGCGCCACAGGTTTAATGTTGCTTTTTCCTGTTAGTAACAGGTAGCAGATACTGAGTGATCACTGAATTGCAGCTAGCCAACGTAGCGTTTTAGGCCTACTAAGTGCCCAGTACGGGAGATACGGCGCAAAAGCATCTCCCCGTATGCTGGTCTAATCTGGCCCGGTGTAATCTTTCTCCCCCGTATCCGTAACGATGTTGAGTCGATCGATCTGCCGCCAAGCCTATCTCAGCTGTTGTGCAAAAGTTGCGATGCCAACCATAGACCGCCAAGATACTCAGTTAATGCTATTCACATGTCCTTTCTAGCATGGCATTTTATGCACAGCGACTGTGTGGATTACAGTCGCGATAGTCGTAAGCAATCGGGAATTATATGAACGGGTAGCTTATAGGGTATTTCCCCGCTATGGTATCGCCCACAGATCTGGATCTTAACATGGGAATGACGATACACGAGGAGCATAATATCTAGTAGTAGTGGATCACCTATTCTCAACATGAAGCAGAGCGTCGGCGCTTGTAAACATTTCCATATATTCGTGGCCGAGTTAAGCCACATAGCGTTTTATTTGCACCGCGTAACGTGTTGGCCTTCGCCGTTGAAGTTTATGGGTTGGTGTTTTAGACTCCAAGAGTGAATTGCGGTGAGCTACTCAAGAGATGGATGGCGATGAATGTCTAGTGTTCTATCATGGAAAGTATATACATTTGCTGGGTACATTGTTTCTAAGCAGCATGGCAACGAAATCGCCCCATCATTAATGATTTTATAAATTTTCTATGTAAGCTCAGCCGTAGCTTGATACTAGATGTATGTTTGTTATTCCGGCAAATTCTGTCTTTGCGCCCACTGTCGTTTGTTGGCTATACCTGTTACTCGAGCCAGAATGTCTTCATGGCTCTAGGCTCAACTGTCACCTTGAGACTGCTGCCGCTAATCTTGTACCGGCTCTGTAAAGTGACATTATGAGTATTGTCGGTTAAATACTCGCTCAACTTTCTCTTTTTAATTCCCTCCAAGTTGATGGTCAAATCATACGGGAAATGAGCGGCATTGATAACAGGTATAGCGACTGTACCATTCTTGTTCACGTACGCCGTAACGTAGACATTTTCCACGTCACTTGTGGCATCAACGCGCACAGAACCTGGTCTGGCGAATCGGAAATATTGAGCAAAGGCCCAGAGCCGAGATGACACTTCGTAATTGTTACCGCGAAGTCGAATGAGAGCATTATCGCCGGTTGTGTCTTGCACACACCACCAGTGAGTGTATCCCGAGGTATCGCTGTTAACAAAGGCGTTATGCATATATAATGCCCATTGAAAGCCCTCACTAGTGCATCCCGTCATATCAGTATCTCAGTGGCATTATAAGTACTGCTTTAGCGGTAAGGATATTGGTGGCGAATACATACGCAAGCTGGCCGCTATAATCCCAGGTACTATTCCATGGACCCGTGCCCTGTGATTTCATTGTAAGTAGGATGAAAATCGCGGAGTGAGTTACTATCTTACATCGGCCCATTCGGTCTGGATATTCGGTTTTCCGCCGGAATTAAATGGGCGCTCAGGGTTGCTCTGATAATTGTGCCACGTCTAAAACAGCTGTTAGTTCTAGCAGATACACCAACCTTCTGTGGTACGCCAGGATTGTCTGTTAGTACGCACCGCAATATCGAAGTATTTTTCACCGCCCGCTTGCTGTAGCTCATAAAGAATGTTTCTCTCTTGTCGTGCGCCGGTAGCATCGCAACAGCTGACATCGACTTTTGGAAAAGCTTTCTTCAGCGTAGGATATAGGACCTCTAGGAAATCTTTGGCTTGGTATCCGTCTGATAGCATACTCTCATAAGTAAAAGGGTTGAAATCAGGCTCATTCCAAGCACCCAAAAGCGAGATATCAATGCCTTCTTCCTTATAGAATCTGACATATTGGACGAGATAATCTGCGTAAGCTTGACGCCAATCATGATCGCAATTGGTACCTCGTACGCCACAGATTTGCCCACCAAGGTTCTCTGTTCCCACAGTCTTCATGCAACCAGGGGCAGACCAAGCATCGGCATAGACGTAAAGTTCTGGATTATATTTGAGGGCCGTTTTTGTGAGATTGAATTGACAGTTATCACTTCCATCCCAGACGTAATTGAACTTGCCCTGCGGCGTTGCCGGGCATGTTGGAAGAATGGTGGTTCCTGGGGATGAACCAATATCGTTTCGCACGATTGAGAGGCCGCCGATGTTTTCATCAAAAAGAATCTGTGTCACCCTCTGTTGATTATCTGGCGATAGACCTGAAGACCCGAATTGCTGGCATGCGACCCCAAAAGCTCCAGAGCAACCGCCTCCAATCATGGTTTGGTATGTCTGGTGAGCATTGATCTTAATATTTGCAGCATATTTGGAGCTGGGAGTGTAGCTCCATGCCGAGCTTTGACCCAGTAGGGCCAAATAAACGGAAAACTTAATCTTCATTTCAATAAATAATTTGGCTGAGTCAATAAAAATCTGATATTAATGATGTTCACTGAGTTCAACAAAATAGATCGATTGCTTTCGAATGCTGCTCGGTATTTGGCCATTTTATTCCCCTGGCATGCCTTTGAGCCCCTCACTGATTTAGTTTACTTGAAATGGAAACTCGCAGATTTATCCGGTCGCTATGCTGTGTACATGTTCGATCCCTGCCGGATAGGTTGCCGAAGAGGCAGCATTTAGCCTTTTTATCCGCAATGACGTTCTTTGCGGATATGATGCAGGGGCTGCAATCTGGGGTAGACCAATGGTATAGAGAGCTGTTCGGCGTACCTGAACTATTGAACAACGCAGAGTTTGGCTAAAATGACCGTATCCATACTTTCAGACTTGCAAGATGATGGTACGGCGTTGTCCAAACCCGAGAAACTTTACGGCGAAGCTCCTTTTCTATAGCTACGGTCTTCGGCCTCTTTAACAGGAACCCTAATGAAGTTCCCCGGCCATAATTGTGGCTTTTGTTCAAGTATTTGGAGGGCTTAGACTATTGCTACCGACATTGTATACATGGCTTGATATAGATATACCACGACTGAAAAAGGAGATGATAATACTACTACAACAATGGAGAATCCACAGAATGCACTAGCTGGCCGATTATGTACTGTTACTAAAACCTTGGTTACTTTGGTAACGGGATTGCTCGGCAATAACATGTAAGATGGTATGGATTTACTAATCAGGAGCTCACAAGCTTACCCTTTTATATCACTGAGTGGAATTCAGTGTCAATGTCCTCTCTGGAAAAAGATGAGCAAAAAACACATTAGATTCGTGAGATACATTCAAGACATGAACAGAATCAGCTTGCAGTTTCTACGAGCAATTACTAATTGCTGGATGAAAGGTATCAGATGCAGCGGCATCATTGCTGCCATCGAACCTGAAGAGTTGGTGCATAGGCGAAGCGTGCCGGCGTTACTCTACATGCTTCAAGAGCAGGCCCGCAAACCACGGTGGTAAGATGAGACTCAGACTTAATAAAAACATTGAATCTACTTCTGTCTGAGACCTACTGCGTGACTATTGTAGATTTTGTGGTAGGTATGGATATATGGAGTCATTATCTTGATTGCGTTTTATCCTTTCTTCTTTTATTAGTTTTCTTCACAAAACTGCCTCTCTATCTAGTCCATCTACGGTCTTCACAAGTGTCAATCCTTTACTCAAGCTCAATATTTGCCCAGCGAAACTCGACTCACAATCTCTCACGCTATGAAGCTCTCTACCAACTCACGCTCCCCCATCCAGCTCGATCATTGTTTTCATCACAGAAAACGTATCCTGGCGATGGAAAGCATTAAGCGACCAGCCATAGTTTAATTGATGCCCAGAAAAGCGTTCTGGAAAGAATTACTAAGACTGTTCATTGTGAATATCGTTTAATGAGTCATAATTCAAGTTATCCGCCCATAGCCATAGCTGACTTGCATCCAGAAGGTCTGAATTCACTAAAAATGACAGGTCTCCATCCCATTCGAATGTATTAGCTGCTTCCAATGCTGCTTGTTGCGGCATCTCTTCGTTAGCTTCGTGATTTTCTACTCTATCTCGAGAGGTGGACGATAAAGGCGTCAAATGAGAGATATGATGACCAAAAACTGCACAGCGCCTCGATCAGACTTGTACAAACTTTCAACAGATCTAGCCTACCTTCTCGAATTGGTTGCAGGAGACTCTCACTACCGGTAGAATTTTGTCGCGGATTTGTTGGATCGCCTCTGTAGGTAGCTGCCCCAACAGATGGCATTACATCGTGAATCGGTAGGGAAGGTCCACGTTGATCGGAGTTTGTTATGGTGGGATAGTTAGTCCTTCCAATTATCATGTCAGTTTCCAACCGTAATACCACGGTAACAAGGCTGTCCAAAATGGAGAGACTCTGGGCGGAAACAAGATGCTGATTCGAGGAGGAGGCATTACGGCACATGCGAATAATGTGCATAACTCCGGTTTTTGCCCTGGAGACCATTGTTGTCATTGGTTGAGAGAGGCATATAGCGCAGAGCACCACTCCGGCTGTAAAAAGGGTAATTCCAATATGCATATCGGCGTGTGTTCGTCGAGAAGCGTGCAAAGTGGAAGAGTATTTATATAGCTCAGAAATATCCATCGCGGAATCGAATAGCTGTTGTAGTGAAAGGCTATTTTCTGTACTGGATGATGTAAATTTGCCTTCTTTATCATTGTATTGAAAGGCCGCAGTACGATGGAGAATGACTTGCAGATTATCGTATGTAAGCTGAAGATTCAGTGCCTGCATCTGGAGTATACATATATGTTCTGAGTTTTGGTCATAGCTTCGTAATTGAAGACTTTCGGGTAGATCTTTCCGCCACTGGAGTAGTTTCTGATGAATGGTATAAACGGTTTCGGCTTGTTTTTGCTGCCTTCTTCGTCCGAGAAAAAGACCCAGTATTCTATAAAGTCGGAATTTCCATTGATGATACAACAGGAGAGAACTTTCGGCGTTAACCTGCTGGTCTGACTGCATGTCAGACACCATACCGACATCACAATCAGAGTCGTCAATGATACATGGCCGTCCAAAGGCAATAGCTGCGTATCTGGTTGGCAGTCATCAGCGTCACAGACATGGTAGCTGAACTGAGAGTAGGTGAAGCTATATCTTACTTATCGAATACTTCCAATGCCCACCAAGTCCGTCGTCTCTCTTCTCGTTTAGCTGGCGAAAGTTCTTTCCATAATCTCTCGCGGTGTAGCCCCATAACCTGAGCAATTTTAACGCCGCTACCCGAAATACCTAAGCCAGCATTGGGTCGACCATTAAAAAGGAGAAAGCTGCCGAGTAAAATGCATATTTGAACTGACTCTAATGTAGAGGAGCTGATTATTTGTAGGAAATGAATTTCGATCTTCGCTAGGAGGTCTTTCGAAAGTTTTCGGTAGTTGACAGCATTTCGGCTCGAAGACGGCGATAATGCTAAGTAGTGAGATCCAAGTGCTATTACTAGCATACAAATCCAAAGGAAGTCGCTATCGTAATATGTTGACTGTTGACGGAGGAACTCTTCATACCTGCGTTTGAATGATTCTTCATGAAACACCTAGAATTAGGATTAGATATAGAGGATAAAAGGACATATGTAACAGAACAGTCTTACCATCATGAACCAGTCCACAGAGAGATAAAAGCTTCTCAAAATGTCATCAAGTACATCGTTTGAAGGCAGCTCTACCCCAATTAGATGCCGCCAACTTCCAGAAATTGGGTGATTGGGATCCATTGGCTTGGCACCACCAGGCAAGGCAGATGTGTCATGTTTCAGGTACTGGGTAGAACCTGTTTCGACGAACATCTGTAACCCCCCTTTTAGTATCTCACCGTAATATGTCGAGATCATATCCTACCATTGTGCTTAAGTTTATAATGTTTGACTCCGGGGCGATGACTGTATCATCGGAGCCAAGCTGATTAGTCTGATCATTTCTATGAGAATCGCCGACTCTTTCAGCCGGTGTTGACGTATCCATCCTTCCAACATTTCGAGGAACACACTCGACGCCTGCCCGAGTACATAATTGACACGGTCTGTCTGCGTCGCACTACAAAATCGTCAATGTCTAGCTGAAAAAAATCGTGCTTTCATTAAGTAAAAATGAAAGAAAACAGAACATACGCCGAGTTTACGCTCGCGACACCTTTGACAGGCTGAAGAGACTTTCCGTCGCTTCCGGGGCGCAATCATCTTGATCAAAAGCCTTCCGACGGAGATGCGCAACTTCCAGGTTTGCCATTTAGAGCCAAGCAGTGAATCGGATACATACTCCATCGGAATCTTAGAGTGAATGTGTCTACATAAACCCCGCCTTAGGGCCACGTCATGATTAGCGGTTAGTCAGGGCCACACATCTTAAAATGTTTCGTGCATGTGTATAACTACACTTCTATATGAGGTTGCTATGCGTAGGAAATATGTTCAAGTGAAGAAGCTATAAGAAGCCTATAGCTACTGCGACTGATGGCTAGAAAATGAGATCACATGCTGTGTTTCACTTGTATGTCTTGAGATGAGGATTTGGAGTATTGAATTACTGCCCAGTATGACCAGACATCTAATATATTGTCAACTGGAAATTGCGAAATAGTCTCCATTTAGCACAATGTCAGCGCTTGTACCACGTCCAATATAGAATGATCAGTTGAGCCCTGTGTTTAATGATGGGATTGACAAATAAAGGCCAGACGCTGATGCAACCGAGGCAATGTTCCTACGCTGTCATTTATTAACTGAATTGGCGTAGCCAGTAATTTACAAGAGAAGAATGCCACTATTCTTAGATATGAGGTTGCAAGACCATTGCAATAGCGATTGAATAGTATGTAGCAAAGACTTTAATTGAGACTAGTATAATTCCCAAAGAAACCGGGAATTTACGCCGGGGCACTCATCCTCACCTATCATTGCTATTGCCCATATGTCTGCCTCAGTAATCCCTCAGCCCTTCATGCGCTCCCTTCCTGCTCCTTGTTGGTGAGCACACGGAGGAGAAGCTACGAGAGCTAAGCGACCTCCTCAAGAAGTGTCTTGGCAGCCAGCTTTCCAAGGTTATTCGATGCCAACGGAGAATCACCAGACAGAACAAGTCTATCGCGATAGACAGCGCCGTCGATGCCTCTATTGAGTGGCGTGACACCAAGCTTGCGGAGCCTCTCGCCGACATACCATTCCATTTTGCCCGGAATATAACCAATTTCGACATTTGCCTGATCATCTAGCGTATCTGGAAAAACGTCAATTTGGTAGCCGTCATAGATAAACTTGCTACCCTCAGGCTTTCCAATATCAGCAGCGAGCATGCTGGCTGGCCCGTGGCAGAGTGTGATAAAATAGCGTTGGTTCTCATGAGCCCACCGAAGGACATTTCCAACAGTTGCCGAGAACGGAATACCGTTCAGCACACCATGGCCACCAGGAATAAACACAGCAAGGTAGGGAGTGTCTTTGGTAAAGCCGTTGCCCCACACGTTGTGAAGATTGAGTGGGCTGCGGATTTTTTCCTTATATTTCTCGTAAATAGCTTTAATTGACTCGTCCTCATTTGGGAATGCCCACATCTCCAGTTTAACAGGGTCACCTGAAAGCGTGGCAATATCAATGTCGAATCCTGCAGCGTCAAGATGAATCATTGGCAAAAGCATCTCCACAGGGTGATTGCCTGTCGAAAAAAACTCGCCGTTTGCCATCTTGAGATAACGCTCCTGTGTCGCAATCAAGAGCACCTTCCATTTGCCACCCTTGTATGCGTTGGGGTAGTTTGCGCCATCGAAATCTGTCTTAGGCGCGGTATATTGTGTAAGAGAATAAGGGGATGGGAACCAAGCATCAGCCTCAGCTCTATCTCGAACAGGTTTGCGATCTGATGAAGCCATTGCAAATGAGGAATTGTTACTGAGAAGCTATGCTCTTTTCTGCTGAATCATTGAGGTTAGGAATATTACTTGGTGTTGGGACAGGCCGCCTTTATACCTATGGCTGTTGGCCTGCGGAAGATACACAAATACATGTAAGAGGCTACGAAAGGTGAGGAGATGTGTTCTGACTTCACTACTTGCGCTCTGAAGAGTTAGTTGACCAAGCCTGGCTGCCGGGCAATCCGATATACACCAATGCTGAGATCTCAGTAGGTAAGATAGGGTGGCAGATTCACAAAAAGAACCTCGCATAATGAGTGACGTATGGATTACGCTCACGCCCCTTCGAAGTTTAAAAACGGCCTGAATCATCTTCTAGTGCAAATCCCCCTCTCTTTCCGCGGGAGCTTTGCGCCACGCAAAGTGCCTTCCGACGGAACACTTCCGAGGCTGCAAAGCTTCACATTATAGTTGCCGGCCTGTAAATGTTTTTCTTAGTCTATAATTACGATGATTGATACTCTTCAATTCAAGTCCCGCGATGTAAATGTTTTAACTAGTTTATACACACTGATATCCAGAACTAATCTGGACATGTTATCATGTTATAGTTGTGCAATACGCACACTATGAATCAGGAATTTGGATATTGGAAATTTGCTTTGTCTTTCGCATAATATAATACAATAGGTCCACCTAGTGAACATCACCTTTGCCCAAGTCCCTCAGAAGGTGTCTGCTGCCGAGTAACATAGCGCTAGCTTTCCTCCGTCGGAATTCTGTTTGCCTGGCTGAACATGCACTAAGCAGTGTTGCTAGTATAGAATATAAGCTAATGTTTCTCCATGACTAAACAGCTGTGTATTTAGTTAGGGTTAGATAGCATTTTTAGTTTCCTGCAAATTGGGTAGAGTTCAGCTATGCTGCCTAGCCCTGTAAGGCTTTCTTCTGCCCAATGATAGTGTAGATCTGGTAATCGTGATCTTTCAGCTCTAACTCCCGCCATCTCCAGACACCATTCTACTAAAATTAAATTCAGAGGAGGCAAAAAAAAAAAAAAAAAAAAAGGTTTTCTACCAGCTCATCCTGCTTGCACGGAGATTATGTCACGCGTCATGCCTTGTTTCTGATTCGATGTGTCGCCACTACCAGTCTTTTATCTCGTAGTATGACGGCTTTGACGTAGGAATAACAGGTATAAATTTACCTCATTTTCGACGATAATTTAGGCTCTTTGAAGGTTTGGTCCGGTAAAGGAAATGAACAGCTGCATTGCGTTGAGAAATAACTGTCCTTGGCTGAAGTGTGCGCGTTCTACCAGAAAACAAACGAATTAAGCTCGCTAGTTACATCCATCCCAACATAATCTCCGACGGAACTCATCGATAGCTTTTTATGGCTTTCTAAAATGGTATTGCCATTAGCAATTAGGGCCTATTGAGGAATTATTGACGCCACTCGATTCTTTCCGATTTGTAATTCCTAATGGTTCTAAATACGGGTCATTAAAGTCCGAACGCCTGGAACGGCAACTTATAATTGCCTGGGAGTACCCCTTGGTTGTAATTCACTTTCTTGCTCGATTCAAACTCAACATCCCTTACAGTCTATGAAGATGACGAATCAAGCCCTTGTTTTCAAGAAAGTCCCATCCGGTTTCCCTGTTCCTGGGGAGCATCTCGTCGTAGAGCCAGTGGGCGGCGATGCAGGAGATGCAGCACCTCCAAATGGTCTTGTCCTAAGATCTCTTTATAGTAGCTTTGACCCTTATATGCGTCCTCGTATGCGACCTGCAGAAGTCAAATCATATACACCGGCCTTTGCACTCAACCAGCCAATCGACAGTGCGACCATCGCCAAAGTCCTTCGATCCAAGAACTCGGGTTTTCGGGAAGGAGATTTAGTTATTGGTCACCTTCCCATCCAAGAATTTCACACATTGGATAGTGGTCAAGTGGCCAAACTTGATCGATTGGAAAATCCCCTCGGCATCAACGACATCCGCGTCTTCCTTGGGGCTCTGGGTATGCCAGGACTTACTGCCTACTCGTCTTTGTTTGAGATTGGAAAGCCACAGAAAGGAGAGACAATATTCGTTTCTGCTGCTAGTGGTGCTGTTGGTCAATTAGTGGGTCAGCTGGCCAAACATGAGGGGTTGAGAGTTATTGGGAGTGTCGGGTCCGACGAGAAGCTCGATTACATCATCCGCGAGCTCAACTTCGACGGTGGTTTCAACTACAAGAAAGAAAGGCCCGCAGACGCACTGTCTCGGCTTGCGCCAGATGGAATCGACATATACTACGAGAATGTTGGGGGTGAACACCTGGAAGCCGCCCTCGACGCTCTGAAGGACTTTGGCCGCATCATTGTCTGTGGTATGATCTCACAATATAACGCAGCGCCATACCCCATCAAAAACATCAGCAATGTGCTGTTTAAGCGTCTCACCATGCGAGGGTTTATTGTCGGCGATGCTGGTATGGGTGATAAATACACTAAGGAACATCAGGATCGTCTTCAGCATTGGATAAAAGATGGATCATTCAAGGCTCTTACTCACGACACGGAGGGTATTGAGAATGCAGCGGAGGGTCTAGTTGGAATCTTTCATGGGAATAACATGGGAAAAGCGGTTCTAAAATTTTAGTTCTTTCGAAGTACAGCTCTTCAATAATGTAGTTTGCATAGAAAGCCAGATTCATCGCAAGACTTAGCGAAACTGCTTCAAGTCCTAGGTATTGATGACGTTGACGACGTGAGAGAGACGAATTAAGAAAGTGGCCATGTCAAATTATAGGGGGAGCGACATTCAACTCTCCAGCGTTTCATGTCCCCAACGCCAAAGCCAATATACGAATAAAGCAATACGAGTAGAACTGGTGGGTGATATACATGTGCTGGGTCTGTAGCTGAGGGTTGAATAGTCATTTTCATCGCTTACGGAGCTCGTTCGAATGTCAGAGGTTAAAATTCCGAAGACAAGCCTCATAACCGGTGAGAAAAAGTGTGTCAAGTGCGCTGCTATATGAGAAATACGCAGTGTCCCTAGTGTCACTTGTAGCAGCCAAGTCACACGGACTTGTATAGTAACTGGCTGTATAGGTGCGGCAAATTAGACCAATGATATACGAGTGTATGTTTTTCTGCTATAAACTCAATCCTATGAGTGGCGCGTTGGTAGCGCCATCTTGACATTGAGACAGCCATATCTGCAGATGAGCTTGGTTCCCTTGATAAAGGCGTCGGATATAACTACGTCAGATTGGGACTGGAAAACTACCTGAAATGCTAGAAGAATCAAGATTTATGTTTTCTTCATTAGTTATTGAAAGTAGTTGCAGAAATCGCTCCCATATACATGCCAACGTAGGAAGCTAACTGCATGATATGGTCATCATTAGACAAGCGCTGTTTTGGTTGGGTAGCTTGAGCCCTTTTACTTTGAGAAAGCGCTGTCTCTCTGATATCATGTATCTCGACCCCCGGCCGTCAAGCATGACCAGGGCCAATGGCAAATTTGAATGCTAAGTTACCGAGAGTAGTGGTTGCTGGGTGCCTCAACATCCGCCCTAAGCGACCTATGGATAACTCAAAATATGGAGCCGGTAGACAATTATACTGGATGACTTGGGTCAGAAGCATGAGACTATAAATGACTAGAGAGAAGGCGAAAACTGGGTTTAATTGAGTTTCATCATATGAACAAGAATAAGACTAATAACCATACTCTCTTCTAGCCATTGCTTTGCTGGAGAGAGTCTCCATTTGAAGCATGTACACTAAGTAGGTATCTTATAGAGCGGTTTACAACACTAGCGTATCTACTACCTAATTTACAGGGCTGGGAGTCCCGGATCGACTAAACATATCTCAGTTAGTGAGGTACGACGGCATGAGATGCTGCAATTACACATAGAATAACAACTTACCGATAGGGCCATCGTCGCCTCCACTGCCTCCGCCAGGGCACTCGTTAAAAAAAGTCTCGGCCTGCCAATCGCCCGGTTAGATTCTCTCTAGTAAGATGGAAATAGGCAGGGATACTGCGTTTTGGTCGACTTACATTGTTCTTGTCAGGCCAAACATGGTGAAGGTCCGCCCGTCCAAGACCCCCGAAATTCACAAAGTGCTACAGCAAAGAATATCGTTAACTCTAAACGGCGGTGATTATATGCACCCGGGTATGTCACATACCATATTCTCCCCGCGGTCTATTGGTGAGTACACAACACCACGATTAGTCCAGTGGAACGAGCTCCCTCCATTTGCGTCAACGTCATTGGGCTGGTACCCGTCGTTCTTGAATAGAGTTCCAGCACCTGTGTACTTGTCAACGTGGATGAGGTCGGCCCGGCCCGAAGCCTCTACATCAGCGAAGCGTATATTGGCCCTGTCCCAACCTTCACTGAACTTGACCTGGCCAACATTTTGGAGCCCCTTTGCTGTGTTCAGCCAAGCCGTTATTCGTCCATCAGCCTCCAAGCAGAGGATATCCGCGCGACCATCGCCACTATAATGCCATTAGCCATAGATCCAAGAGGGACGTTGTTGGCTGTTCATACTCAATATCGGCAATGCGCATACCGCGGTCGAAGATGCCAACGCCCCATCCCTGGGTGCAGCTAGCACTCCCCGACTTCACCCCCTGGTTGCTAAACTTGAGCAACTTGGCGGCTGCATCGAACTTTATTGTCGTGAGTTAGCACTTACACCATTCTTTATGTTACATCAAGACTTCGCCTCATGAGCCAGCACTGGTACTAGCACAGAAGGCTAGAGACAGGTTGAAAAGGGTCAAGGGGTGTCTCCTGCGGATGTTACATACATCGTTATGCCACAGAGTCAGAGCTCCCGTGGCTTTGTTTTGCACAAGCACGTCGCATTTCCCATCACCATCGAAATCCGCCAGGTGGATGCCAACACGCGGCCCTGGGACAGACAGCGTGATGGAGATGCTATGGCCCCAATCCGGTGGGGAATGAATGTTCGCAAAGAAGTCGGTCGAGTCGGCGTGACCA